CATGAAAATAGATTCATTTGAAGTTTTAGTATATTTTTGACCATAAACTCTACCATTGTCTTGGTATGAAGTTCCAAACTAAAATGTCATTATATTTTCAGTTTTATTGCCGCGGCTCAAAAGTTTTGCAGAACCTATGAATTCACCTTGAATGTCCCTAACTCTCGCACTGATCAAACAAGGAACAATCAGAAAGAAAAGTGTTTAGCAAATAGAGGAGAGACAAAATATCCTTATTCTTTGTATCGGGGTTGTAGTATTTATAGTACACAGTTTTTAACTTGACAGTGGCGTAGCTAGCGAATTATTAACTGTATTCAGAAAGGCAAGGGGTCTGGGGGCCGCCTTTAGGCCCCCAGCGGGTCCAGGGCAGGGCCCTGGTGGGGGCCCAGGGGGCGAAGCCCCCGGAAGCTCATGCATTTTAAGGGTTTTATACATTAGAAAACTACCTTAAAATAGTTCAATTTTTACAATCGTAGTTCTAATATACTAAATATTAACAAAAACTTGCCGAGTTTTGACAATACTAACAACTCCCCATATTTCCTTTTTCTAAAAGCATTTCTTGTTTTCATGAACTAAGTCAATAAATTTTCAACAGTGAAAATCTTGTAGTATGTGGGGGCTCCGAACTCACAAGACCTTGACTTTGTGAGGATGCTATAACTCATATTTTCCCAATAATTTTTCACAAGAACATTTCGCCTTTTCGTAAAGTTGGCTAATTTTTAAAACTTTTTTCTCCTTATTATTAGCAACTTTTAAATTATATTACAAAAAAACTATTTTGAAATTTACTGAAAGAGAATTTATTATGGACTTCAGGGAAACCTTGGAAAAATTTTTGACAAAAAATTCAATGTTGTAGTAGTTGCTATAAAATTTATTTTCCAGTTAACCCTGTTTTTTTTTTTTTTTATGATAAACGCGAAATGAATTATATATACAGGTATATCAACACAAAAAACTTGAATATTCTCAATTTGTTACATGATACAAATCAATGGTTTTGATATAACATGTAAAGTACATATACAATGCAGGTACCTTTGGGGAATTAGTAAATAACATACATGTAGTTTGGATTATTATTTGCTTTTGCTTGAATTGACACAATTATGAAATTCGTCCTCGAAATTCTAAAAAAAAATTATATATATATATACCACAGGCACTTGTTTCTGTAAAAAAATTTTGACCCATAGTATTATTATACTATATGGGTCAAATTTTTTTTACAGAAACAAGTGCCTGTGATATATACTCTGTATCAAAGATCTTAGATAGAAGCTGAATATATTCTTTTAATCTATTAAGCAGGTAAGGATTAAAAATATCTTTTAATATACAATGTAACTTATTTTATTTTAATCTTTTTATTGAACTTACAACTTTTTCTTTATATTTATTTATTTATTTTTTTGTGTGTGAAAAATCTGTGTATTCATTTGCGTTTTTGCGTAAAGGGCGCTACGCCACTAGTTGACAAAAAAAAAAAAAAAAAAAAAATCCTATTTCGTGGGAGGGGCTGGGGGTGTGTATAAAATTGGACTTCTTTCAATACAATTTTTTTTCTCGAAACACTACCACCAGGGACCTATATACTATAGTGTTAGTATATAGGTCCCTGCTACCACTTACCCTTTTTGACCTAAACTGCAACGTGCCTGCTGAAAGTGGAATGGGTGGGGGCAAAACCTTGTTCAATGCCTATATTGTGTCAATCTTTGTAAAAAAAAAAAGAAGAAGGGGGAGGGGCTAGGCCCTCCTACCCACCCACCCCCCGGTTCCAACACCTATGTTCACGCTCTCTCTCCATTGTTTGTCCATTCCTTCCTTTAAATATTTGATCATGATTATAATACATGTATAGATGACAAAGAAAGAACTATCTAGAAAAACACTTTCAGATGAATTTGCATTATTTTGGATGTATTTTCATCTGAGGTTTGCAGTGGTATGACTATCATAGAAAAGGTGGTTGGAGTCTGATTAAGAGGCCGTGTCAGTAACCATTGAGATTTACATGGAAAGTCAAAAATTTTGAATTGGGCAAAAACCACCCTAAAATATTTGAACAACAACAAAAAACACATTTGAGACAAATTTTACAAATTTATTCATCATCATTGGTTTCCATGGCAACAAATGTGATTTGCATAGTAAATTCTCAACGAAACATTGTAAAATAATACAAATTTAGACATATTTAAATGCAGAGGGGGGAACAATTGGAAGGTCTAAATTTGTTTTCTTATACTGAAATAATGAAAGATGCATCAGAAGAAAATATTTTTATGTCTGTAAGTATTTTTAAAAATTTTGATATGGTTGCTATGGCAACCGAAAAATGACAAGATTTTCATGATGGGAATATCCGTGGAAAATTAAGTTTTTCAAAAGTTGAATACTTAAAAACGCAACAACCGTAAATATTGTATGTCATACAAAGTTAAAGATATATCCCAATACTATGAAATTATAAAATAAAAATTGGTAGTCGGATGTCCAAATTTTTTTTTTCAGAAATCAAAATTTGCATTTTTTTCAAAACACTTTCAATGGATTTTAGCAAGTTTTGGCAATTTTTTTTTAATATTACAACAGATATTTAACAGTTAGATGCCATATCTACAGAAACATAGTACTTTAGAAAAATCTCCATAAAATGTACGACTTTTTTATAAAACAATAGGAAAAGAAATCTCCATAGCAACGGAAATTATACCCTAGCAACTGACTTGACTAGGATCGGCAAAACATGAAACATACACCCAAGAAATTAAAGCCTCTCAAGTGGAATATTTGGGTCATGGCATCCTGATCAACTGTCAACCCTGTTGTACTTACCCCATCATATAAGTAATAATAAGTACCATTGCTCCACAATGTCTAATAGTTATACAATATAGTCAGAATGTGGACCAAATATGCAAAAACTTGACCATATATGACATAACAAAAGTCGAAGTTATATGTCAAAATGACGCAATGTTCAACCCAAAGGGACGCCAATGCTCTGTCTACTGGCTAATTTACATTGCTGTACCATGTTTATTATTTAAGTTATAAACCTAAAAACAACTAGAACTGTCCAAATGGGACAAAATACCCCCCGCTGGGTTTTTCAGAAGTGCTAAATCATGAATATTTTATGGATCTAAGAGAAGAGAGAAAAGCTGAAACATTTTAGTGCAAATGTAATTGCTCATTAATTTTTTTTTATAAATGAAACGAAGGTGCAGCCTAAAAAATAGACTGAATGTATGGATCACACATGAATTATGAATTTTTTTTGTCAGTGACCTTGAACTTGCATAAATGACCTTGGTTTAAAGTCATGACAAGTTCTCAGGTCAAAGCAATGTTTGTGTAAAATGGGAACCTTTCAAGTTTATCCTTAAGAAAGATATGGACCAGACATGAATTATAATTTTTTTACTGTCTGTGCACTTGAACTTGGACAATTGACCTTGGGTCAAAGTCATGACACACCCTTATGTCATAAGTGATCTTTGTGTAAACAAGAAAGTATCCAAGTTTATCAATAAGAAAGATATGGACCAGGCACAAATTATGAAGTTTTTCCTTTCAGTGACATTAAACTTACACAAAGTACCTTGGGTCAAGGTCATGACACATCCACAAGACAATAAGCGATTTTTGTGTAAAACAGGAACTTACCAAGTTTTTCCATAAGATAGATATGTACAAAACATGAATTAGGAACTTGTTGCTTTTATAACCTTGAACTTGCATAGATAACCTTGCATCAAGGTAATGATACATCCTAAGGTTATAAGGAATCTTTGTGTGAAATAGGAACTAACCAGTTTATCCATAAGCAATATATGGACCATGCACATATTAAGAAATTTTCCTTTCAGTGCCCTTGAACTTAAATAACCTTTGCTGAAGGTCATAAACCCTCTTTGTGCGAAGTAGTAGATTCAAGTTTATCCAAAATAAAGATATGTACCAAACATGAATTTTACAATTTTTCTTTTAGTGACCTTGAACATGCACAGATGACCTTGGGTCAAGGTCATGACACACCCTTAGGTCATGAGGAATCTTTTTGTAAAATGGGAACTTACCAAGTTAATCCATAAGAAAGATATGGAATGGACACAAATAATGAAATTTTTCTTCCAGTGACCTTGAACTTCCCCAAATGACCTTGAGTCAAGGTCATGACACACTCTTAGGTCATGAGCAATCTTTGTATTGAGTAGTAGATTCTAATGTTCCTCCGTAAGAAAGATATGGACCGTACATGTTTGCACAGCTAGACAGATGGACGGACGGATAGACAGACAGACAGACAAGCTGATTCCTATATACACCCCCCCAAACTTCGTTTACAGGGGGTATAATGAGAAGTCGTGTCTGTTAAACACAAGACGACCTTATACTTATTCAAATGAAAATAAACCTTAACATCAGCAAGGCTTGTGAAAATGTAGTTTACAGCAATTTTATATTTCAAGTTTTATCTTATTTTACTATCAAAGACCAATCAACTGGTCAAATATCAATGCTCACTAAAAGTATCACAGATATGAACGTAAGTCTGGTATTTTATTTTTAGCCAGAAGTAATTTTAGCGATTTTAAAATGTTTATTAAAGAAGCTATTACAAATAATAAGACATTAAATTTTAGCAATATTCAATTTTAGCGATGTCAGCACCCTCTCTAATAATGCCAAAATGAAATCCTTGCTAAAAATTCTACTTATACGGTATGTTCTTCAAAGTACATTTATGCACAGTAAACAAGAAGTATGACACATTTGATTTTAGATATTATCTATTTTAACCAACTAGAGCTAGAGCAGTATAATCCAAGTGTTGTCCACAGACAGATGGACAAACAAACAGGGTGATTCCTATATCCCCCTTCCAAAAACTTTGATATCAAAATCTTAAACTTAGTAAGGAAATGTTTTTAGTTCACTGCTTTAAGAGCCATATCAGAAATCTGATTCAAATAGTTCATGTTCCCTTCAGCTGTCAAGTCATTTTCTTCACTTCAGTGTTAGACCTCTGCCTTTTCACCAATGGCATCAAGATACATAATCAAGGTCTTCCTTCTATGTAATGGACTATCTTCATGCTCTTGAGAATCCTGGCATTCAGATGACTTTCACAAGGTGTTTGGAAAAGTTGTCGTCTGAAGTTGAATCCACCTACAAAAGAAAGATACAAAATCAATCCAACTAACAACTTCATTTAAAACAAGTTCATTTTGACACAAATGTTACTCATGCTGAGACAGTGTTTCACAGCCCTGAACCAAAGTCACACCTTCAATGTCAAGGTCAAGGTAAAATTTGATGGAGTTTTCAGGTCTGTATTTCTATATGCCTCACGGAACAGCTTCATACTTGGCATACAATGCTCCTAATGATAAGGTGGTGTGCATGACCCTAACTCAATGTCAAACTTCAATGCTAAGGTCACAGTAGACTTCAATGAAATTGTCTTATCTGAAATGCATTTCATACCTGCCTCAAAAGCACAGCTTACATGACACAAATGTGCCTCATGATATCAGTCTTTAACAACCTTTGACAGAAGACAGGGTGAGCAATATGGGCCCATTTTATGCTTCTTGTCTGGGTTTAAAATATGAAGTTCATAGGTCAAATGGATTTAAGTTATTGAGTCACAATCCTTTCAAGTTTGAAGTTTCCAGGACATATAGCATTTGAGTTATCTCTCGACAAAGAAATGGATGAACAAAGTGATTACTGGTACTCTTTGAGGCTGGGCTCTTATGAACAAGCTGATGGTCAAAGTAGTTCTAAACAATTCAGTACATGTAAAAAAATTCAGTACAAACCTCTATTTGTTCCATATGCTTTGAATCTGGTTGTACTTCATGGTTATTTGGTAGTTCACATAGCAACTCATCATCATCATGATTCTCCTGAAAGTATTTCATATCTGTTTACAAATTTACATGACCCTACTGCATATAGTTGCTGATTCTTTATAATAAACAAGCTGATGCTAAAAGTAATTTAAAGCAAGATAAGTTTGTGAAACAGTATGCCCCCAGCGTCAACAAATATAGAAAAGCTAGTTTTAGCAAAAAGATCAAGATCTAAAGGTTACTAACGTTGGTGTAATTTAAAAAAAATTAATTAGTGGATTATGTATACAAAATATGATCTCACAGTTCAAAAGTCATGGTAAAGGTTAAAGCTGACAACAGATAGACAGAAAGGACAAACAAAAATATGTTCATGCTCTTGGGCATAATAATTCAGTACATGTAAAAATTTCAATACAAACCTTTATTTGTTCCACATTAATTGGATCTGCTTGTACTTCATGGTTATTTGTTAGTTCACATTGCAACTGATTATCATCATGATTCTCCTGAAAATATTTTAGACCTGTTTACAAACTTACTTGAGCCTATAGCATATAGTGACTGGGATATGATATAAGACATTAAACTGGACAAAGGGGATACTCCAATTTAGTCTCACATTTTCAGAATTATCGTATTCAGAAATTGTGCCCAACCTGATCAAGGGCTTAGGAGGAATAGCACCCCACCCACGCCTTACTTTTTTGGGAAGTCAAAATTTCCTGTAGTTAAAATTCATAAATCCTGGTTCCCCTCCCCTCCACTTTAAGGGTCAGGAGCAAATTTTGAAACCAGAGTTGAGTCTGTTATCCTTGTTTCCCTTCCCCTTTTCAAATCAATATTAGCAACCTCAAGTTTTGTCATCTTGTTTTAGTGTAGCTGCAGAACTGTAGCTCTCCAAAAAAATATATATTGATAGACCTGAGATAATGAGGTATAGCGGGTATGGCTATGAATTTTTTATGAAATATTGTTTGAAATATTACTTATCAAAAGAACACTAATATGCAGACATACACGATTGGAAATCTACCAATTTGACCTTATCAGTGATTGATGAATATGCTCTAAATAATAAAGTCTGAAATATCTGGCATTTTTCAGTTTTTTTTTTTTTTTTTTTAATATTTTCTGTGCCAGGAAAACGTCAGAACCAGCGCCATTACGAAAACTGGAAATTTCGCCATTTCCAGTCAGAGTTGATTTCCCATACCTGGGAACCGCATTAAATGCCGTTGTTACAATTTATCAATGGCACAATGCTTTTAGTACTTGACAATAACAATGAAAAGAAAATAATCACTCATCATTTCGATACAGGACTTGTATATTTTTTTTAATTTGTAAACGCACGAAATGAAAACAAATCTCGACAGTCAGAGAAAATGTTTCCATCGGATCATGGATCATATATTTGCAAACAAACCATAAAAACTATATTGGTAAGTACTAGAGGCATTGTACTATTGATAAATTGTGAGTTTGACAAGTAATTGCAAGTATCGAAAATACACCCGAGAATGCCGCCTCTGCTTGGAATTCCAAGTTTTCGTAAAGGCGCCGGTTATGGCGTTTTCCTCGCACGTAAAATATAGAAATAGTTAAAAAGCCAGGAAAACGTCAGATATTTCGGACTATAAATAGTACTTTTCAGTCACCTACAAACTCTTGATGCTGTCATGTCCTCTGTAACCGCACAAGACCTGCTTTATACGTCTTTACATGGTGTTTTTCTTCTCCGACTTCTGCTGCAACAGCAACTTTCTGTTCTTTATCAGCAGGAGAGTTCCACAAAAGGGAGATAATCGTTCACGCGTTTTCATATTTGTGGTACATTCTAAATCAAATTATTTGCTATAGAGTACCCAACTACCATTTTTTATTATTGGATTTATAACTTCAAAGCTCGTAGTTTCTATTGCATGTATGATTATGATAGAGTTTGGTTGCGTTTTCGTGTAAAATATTTATAAAAATCATGTTGATTTTACAGCATTTGGTAGAAACAAAGCAAAGTAGGCCCCAATGCTTTAAAATAAACATGGGAAAAATTAAATCTCCCATTTATATTGAAATTAAGAAAAACATAGTTTGATTCTGTAATTAATTTTGACAGGGTTATCAATAATCAAATTTCACACTTTTCAAGCATTAAAATCACCGTTGCTATGGTAACAAGGAAGATGTGACCCAAATAACTCATGTTTGAAAGGACATTCATCTATACTTCCATGCACCCAAATATTAAAGCAAAATATTTTTTTTCACATTCCACTCACTTTATATACAATACTCAATGGTTACTGACACGGCCTCTTAATTTTTGGGTGGAATATATTTGCTGGCTTCAAATTTACAAATTAATATAATATATATATAGTGATGAAGATCGAGAATCGTAAATTTGGGCAAGTTGTCATTACTCAATGATGCTTGTACATAGAGCAACATAACGGGAAAAAAACCCTTGGCCAATGTTTTAGAAGAGATTTAGTTTGTCTATATAGCACTTCAATAAATAGCAAAATCGTCTTCTTATTCCTTGAAAAAAAAATGAAAAAAAATCTTAGTAAAATTTTGCATGGGCCGAGGTGTATACTGGTGTCTCATAATATCGCGGTACTTAATCCTTTTGCATAAAAAGTGTTATTCCAATTTTTTTACTTTAACTTTCATCAAATACTAATCATAAACCAATCTATGGCCTAACTTTTTAGCGTCAAATTATTTCTCAGGTTTGCATTGTTTAATTTGTTGTCTATTTTTAAAACGGGAAGTCTTATTTACCTCCTAAATTGTAGAGTCTCATAGTATCGCGGTATAGGAAACATGGAAACTTGTGGCTGACATGGACTTCAATTTTTATTTTTATATTTACGGTGAAATTCTACATTAAAAATAAACATTTATACAAACTAAAGACTTTCGAAACATGAACTTTATTCTGGCTTTTACTAGGTTATAAAATCAATGATCTAAATATGATATAAACGGTAATGGAAATCTGTAAAATTACGTTTTATTTGAATAAAAAATTACTGACACATGTTCCATACTTTTTAATCGTCACAAAAGTTTACAATCGGACGACAAACAGATAGTATTTAAATAGAAAGGATATGAGCTGTGTATCTGAATTTTTGGAATATAGCGCGATACAATGGAACCCGCGATATAATGAGAAGCGAGTATATATGCCGACCTGTCTTAAATCTTGGCCGACCCGTTTGAGCTGATAAGACACATTGTCCGACACTCGAATCAGTTTGTGAACGATCGTCCAAAAAAAAAAAAGGCGCGAAATTTGGAAAAGTTTGAGCAGAGGAAATCCAAATCTTTCAGCCTGGGCCTTACCTTAGTAGATGACATATTACATAAAAGGTGTATAATGTGAGGAAAATGGCAGATAACACATATGATGAAATTGACGATGAACAGAAAGAAATTCGACAGGTATTTTAACGTTTAGGCTATGTATTCATTTTATCATTTAACGTTATCGATAGCTGCATATCTGTACGGCATATGGTTATGGTCAAAGACTAACTATAAAACGCTACAGATCTTCAGCTATTAACATTTATATCATAAACTGTCACTTGCACCTGGTCACTGGTCATCGCAAAGCTCACTGATTCACTGCATAATTGTTTTCAAATTTTTAGTCTCTTAGTACCGATCTCGCTGAGATTATCTCACATTTAGCAGGTCCAGCACAATGTCTTGATTAAGCTATATAGCTTTATTAAGCTATTTAAAATAGCTTAATAAAGCTATTCATATGCAGTTTTTAGCAAAAAACGTTTTTAGTGAGAAATAAACAAAAAGTCGCAAGTATTTGACTATTCTTATATGTACTTTGGGCTATCAAAAAAACAACCAAAATCATAGAAAGTTCTAACATTGCTGTTGTTGAATACTTTTAAGCAAAAGATGAATTTCCATTGTTTGGGTAACTGTACTAGGGGAAAGTGTCCTACTGAGTGCGTTGAGGCGTGGATAAGTATGATTACCTCTCATTGTGTTGAACTGTTACTAATCAATTATCCTGTTGGCCATAAATGATCTCCTTTATAATTTCATTCAAGAAATAACTGTGTGGTCACTCATCAATGGCCCCAAACTTTTAAAAATTTGAGTACAAAGTCTCTCAAGGAGACACAATTTGGTGAGTGATTTTTACATGCATTGTATTCAGAAGAGTTCAAAGCTTAATATTTCCACTGCACCAATGTGTGATTTTTTGCACATGCTGAAAAAATAAAACATTTGAGAAAAAATTGTGATAAAATAGCTTAATTAAGCTATTCTGAATAGCTCATTAAAACTATATAGCTAAATCAAGCTATATAGCTTAATCAAGACATTGTGCCGGACCTGTTTAGCAGGTCCAGTACAATCTCTTGATTATCATTAGCTATATAACTTTAAATAAACAAAAAGTTGCATGTATTTGACTCTTCATATGTAATGTACTATGGGCTAGTCAGGTCCAGTCCAAAGACTATTTCTACCTATGTAGCTATCAATAGCTACGTAGGTATTTAAACCTACCAAAAGTAGCTATTTTTACCTACTTTATGCTTTACTTGCATTTTGTGGCCAAACGGCCGAGCAGCGCAATATGGTGAGTACCAAATTTCTTGAAACAGTCAAACTGATGATGGATATGAAAAAAATTGACCAAAAAATGCTTACTTCGTAAATTAACAATTTTGCAAACAAACTGATGTAAAATTGATGATTTAGGAAGTAATCATTTTTTGGCCAACATTTCGTCGTATTCATCATTAATGTGACTGTATCAAAATAAATGGTATTCACCATGTTGCACCGTTCGGTGTTTTGGCCATTAAATGCAGAAAATACAAAAAAAGTAGGTAAAAATAGCTACTTTAAGTAGGTTTAAATACCTATGTAGCTATTAATAGCTACGTAGGTAGAAATAGTCTTTGGACTGGACCTGCTAGTATCAAACCAACAACCGAAATCAAAGATAGTTCTATAAACATTGCAGCTCTTGAATACTTTAAAGCAAAAAAAAAAAAAGAATTTCTATTGTTAGAGTAACTGTCCACCACCCTGTGTGCATTGAGGCATGGATAAGGATGATTGCTTCTCCTTGTACTCAATTATTACCAATCAATTATCTTGTTGACCATAATTGGTCTCCTTTATAATTTCATTGCAGAAGTACCATAACTCGCTGCATTTCATTTCCAGAAATCTGCATAGCATTTCCGACATTTTTTAAAATTTCATTATGGACATTTGTTTATTTCATTTTGGACATAATGATTAATTTTTTCTTTCATTTCCTGAATTTACCTGTGTGGTTTAATCATAATTTTTCCAAGTAAGTGAAAATGTAATTTTAAAAGTGTATTTATTGCAAAAGGGCGTTAACGCCCCGAAGGGCGTTATAGTAGATTTGATCACATACCGACTTCATGTCATATCCCCATGACACTCTAAAAAGTATATTTTATTTCGTATATTTATATTTTTATTTCTCTTCACATTTATAAAAAGACAAAATGTACTATTAAGACTTTGTTACTGACGTCATATGACATCACAGTCAAGACTTTCCAAATGTCTCGCGTGGTTTGCTTTCAATACGCAAGAAAGTCTGATGATATGACCTACTGCATGTCATTGAAAATTGAATTATAATTTAATTAGTATTGTCATATAAGGAAAGACTTTCCATATAATTCCTTTCTGTATTTTTTTTTGGTACTAGAAATGTAACAAAATACTGTATGCTGATCAAACCCTTTTACAGAAATTAAAGGCAGCTTTGTATTACACCACATTGAAGATCAGTGATGAGCTGGCCGAGGAGAAGGAAGTGACACTAAGTCGACAAGTGGTGGCCAGTATTGCTGAAACAACATGGAACCAGTGTCAGCAGTTTGCAGAGGATCTAGAGATGTTTGCCAAGTAACCGTTTTTCCCTTTGATATCAATTCTGACAATTTTTTTTCATTTTTTGGACAGAGGGTGGGGATAAAATGAACTTTAAGCAATTTTGTATAACATTACCATTAGTGGAAAAATTCTTACTATTAATATGATAAAAAATTTATGAAGGAATCTGTGATTTTGAGAGTTATCTCTCTTAGCTAGGGGGTTCCTCCTCCTTTACTTTAATTAGGGCCCCGCAAGGATTTGCGGGTGCCCTATAGTAATCACTGTCCGTCCGTCCGTCCATCTGTCTGTCTGTCTGTCCGTCTGTCACTCTTCTGTCCACAAATTTTCTGGTTTTTTTTCTAATAACTTTTTTTAAGGTCGCGCAATCAAGTTCAAATTTGGTATGATAGTTCAGTAGGCAGAAATACATATTTTGATGCTAAGTTTGGTTCTCTATGTCTTCTGGTTTGGAGCTGGGGTGGTGGGGTAGATTCCTTAACTATGCATAAGAATGAATGGGCAAAGAGAGATAACTGCTGAGAATGTTACCATTGTAAACTGGGAAGGCTGTGCAATTTGTCCTTTAGGATTAATTAACCTTCCACATGAAGAAATTCCTAAGAATTATCTTTATCTGTCACATTGAGATTAATTACTGTTCCAGCCTCTGTCTGCACTGAACTTTGTTTTGAAGTTAAGATCAATTTTGAATGATGTGTACATTCTTTGAAATATGGATCATTAAATGTTCATACTTTATATTGGTTAAAATACTGTACACAAGGATTTAACATGATTTTATAAAATTCTAAAATCAAGAAATAAATTAAGATATCCTTTTTTATTATTACTATTTTATTTTTTAATTATTTATTTAATTTAATTTTTTTTGCTGCCCTAATGCTGTTAATTTTAACAGGTAATCAGATAATAACCCCATTCTGTCAGTGCTGAAAAAAGTTCTTATTGTAAATTTATATAGAAGAAAAGGATTGGAGAGACCCCTGGGATTAATTATCTTGCTTGCTGCAGAAAATTTAGAGGTTAATCTTTATCTGTCATATGAAGATTAATGAACACCTTTGTCTGCAACTGATGTTTGTTTTGAAGTTGAGGTCAACCCTGGGTGATATTTGCATTCACTGAAGGCTTGCATTTTATAAAACATCTGCTTAAATCTTTTTTAAATACACATTAAATTTAGTTTTTTTAATAAGACATGAGGTTTTCCCTGTTTTATGTTAATACAAGGTTACTATTTACAGGTTTTTGGACATTCAGGAATTATCTTGAAATTTTAAAAATACAGCTGTTACTTATAATCTTCATATATTAAAAAAAATGTAATCAAATAAAACTCTCATTCAATGAGCTGCACCCTTATATTTCTACCCCTCAGCGGGGCCTTTGCTGACTGGTCAGTTTTCTAGTATTTCAAGAAAATAATACCAGATGGTAAATAAAAAATTCTTACAAGCACATGTTGGGTTCAAAAAGATAGTGATTTCTGGATGTTTTGTTGTAGACACGCCAAAAGAAGCACAATTAATGCAGAAGATGTTAAACTACTCACAAGAAGATCACAAAAATTGGTATGTATGTTGTATCAGAAAGGATATTATTAGAACTCATGAAATTAGCTAACTAATATAGTCATATCTTGCTAAAAAAAAATTGATTCTCCTTTGATGGATTTATTTTTTAACAGATGTTGTACCGGTACATAACTCTATTTCACTTTCCTTGCCACTGGTAAACTTGTAAACTTGCACCATCATGCAAAAATTTATACCCTGTTTGGATTATATGATTTTCTTTATCTACAGAAATTTTATTTTAATGGAAAAAGATTTTGACTAGAAATCTTTTGTAGGGTCTTTTTTTATTTCAATATTTTCCCCATAAGATACTTGAACAGATAGAAATAAGGGGAAGACATGAGAAGTCCAGAAGTTCCATATCAATGATTATTATTATGTATTGTATGCTAAGCATAAGTCAGTCTTGCTTGATTTTATCAGTTTGAGCTATATTTTAAAGCCTTGATATTATTTTTATTATTTTCCTCTTTTTGTGTTTTGCAGCACAAATTTATCTGCCAGAAGCATGAAGCTTATGTAGAAGAGAAGCAGGAGACAAGGAAGGCAAAGAAACCCAGGTCCAAGTCCTCCACCACCACGGAGACTTCTGGTTTACAGGCCGAGGAGGATTCTAATATGGACTGAAAATTAATGCTAGTTCAAAATTTAAAAAAATCATGATGGAGAAGAAAATTACTGCCCTAAATTTTATGGTTACATTGTCATTTACGGAGATTCTGTTGGGCCCAAAAAAGTATATAGAGTTATATTAATTTAAGTTGTGTTGAAACCTGAAAGATTGTATTTTACTGCACGAAATGTCCATCAACATGTATGTAAATATATTCTAATGCCTTATGGGACAGAGAAGGAAATACCTTTAGAATTAGAAATACCGGTATTAAAGATAAAAAATCTTTGTGGGGGAACCCCAATTTATTGTGAATCAAGATGTATTGATTGTGCCATATGAGAAACAGAAATACTGTAGTAGCTTACTAGCTTTTTGTCAGATGAGAGCTAGTATACTTATACAAAATGTTGCAAATACATTGTCATTTTTAACAACAGCATATATTATAAAATGGTATGATTCATAGATTTGACTCGTAAGAATGTGAGCGTTTCATGTTATGAAAAAAAGGATTCATCGTTTTCTATACCTAGCTGGACAGGTTACTTTTGATCCATCTTTGGCCTGTTTGTGATACATGAATATTTGACAATGATAGAGTAAGGCTGAAGTGGACTCCTAATTTTTAGCTCACCTGAGCCGAAGGCTCAAGTGAGCTTTTCTGATCACATTTTGTCCGTCGTCCGTCCGTTTGTCTGTCTGTCTGTCCGTCTGTAAACTTTTCACATTTTCGACTTCTTCTCAAGAACCACTGGGCCAATTTTGACCAAACTTGGTACAAAGCATCCTTGGGTAAAGGGCAGGGGAATTTAAATTGTGAAAATGAAGGGCCAAGTCTCCTTACAAGGGGAGATAATCAAGAAAAAGACAAAAATAGGGTGGGGTCATTAAAAAATCTTCTTCTCAAGAACCACTGGGACAGAAAAGCTGAAACTTTTGTGGAAGCATTCTAGGGTAGTGTAGATTCTAAGTTGTAAAAATCATGACCCCCGGGGATAGGGCGGGGCCACAATAGGGAATCAAACTTTTACATAGAATTATATAGGAAAAATCTTCTTCTCAAGAACCACTGAGCCAGAAAAGCTGAAACTTATGTGGAAGCATCTTTAGGTAGTGCAGATTCTAAATTGTTAAAATCATGACCCCGGGGATAGGGCGGGGCCACAATGTGGAATCATACTTTTACATTGAAAGATATAGGAAAAATCTTTAAAAATCTTCTTCTCAAGAACCACTGAGCCAGAAAAGCTGAAACTTATGTGGAAGCATCCTTAGGTAGTGCAGATTCTAAATTGTTAAAATCATGACCCCCAGGGATAGGGCGGGGCCACAATGGGGAATCATACTTTTACATTGAAAGATATAGGAAAAATCTTTAAAAATCTTCTTCTCAAGAACCACTGAGCCAGAAAAGCTGAAACTTATGTGGAAGCATTCTGGGGTAGTGTAGATTCTAAATTGTAAAAATCATGACCCCCGGGGATAGGGCGGGGCCACAATAGGGAATCAAAGTTTTACATAGAAATATATATGAAAAATCTTTAAAAATCTACTTCTCAAGAACCACTGGGCCAGAAAAGCTCAAACTTATGTGAAAGTATCCTGGGGAAGTGTAGATTCTAAATTGTTCAAGTCATGACCCCCGGGGGTTGGGCAGGGCCATAATGGGGGATCAAAGTTTTACATAGCAATATATAGGAAAAATCTTTGAAAATCTTCTTCTCAAGAACCACTGAGCCAGAAAAGCTGAAACTTATGTGGAAGCATCCAGGGGTAGTGTAGATTCTAAATTGTTTAAATCATGATCCCCGGGGTTGGGCGGGGCCACAATGGGGAATCAAAGTTTTACATAGAAATATATAGGAAAAAATCTTTAAAAATCTTCTTCTCAAGAACCACTGGGCCAGAAAAGCTGAAACTTGTGTGGAAGCATCCCAGGGTAGTGTAGATTCTAAATTGTTCAAATCATGATCCCCGGGGGTTGGGCGGGGCCACAATGGGGAATCAAAGTTTTACATAGAAATATATTGGAAAAATCTTATTCTCAAGAACCACTGGGCCAGAAAAGCAGAAACTTATGTTAAAGCATCCTGGGATAGTGTAGATTCTAAATTGTTCTAATCATGTCACCCCCGGGGGTATGGTGGGGCCACAATGGGGAATCAAAGTTTTACAATGTTGAATAAAAGCATCCTATGGTAGTGTAGATTTCAAATTGTTTAAATTATGATCAGTTGGGTAGGGTGGGGTCACAATATGTATAACAAGGGGAAAATCTGGTAAAGAACGGAATGTTCAAAGCTTCTCAGGTGAGCGATGTGGCCCATGGGCCTCTTGTTTAGAAGCTGATTCCTTGTTGCTAGGGAAGTATTGTAAAAGTCGTTTTTGAAATCTGAGATAAAGGAGACTGCCATACTGGTACACAGCTACAATTTTCTTTTCTTTTTATTCTTTGATTATAATATTGTCCACTGTAGAAAACAGCTGCAACCTGGTACATTGGAATCCCGCTATTACGGTGACGGTTTTATAAGATAGAACACTTATGTTGTAAATTCAAAGCACAAAACCATTTCAAACAGAACCGTTTATTACATTGTCCAAAAAAGCCAGGTCCCGGTATTACGATGTAAAAATTCTGACAAAATTTTTTTCACTCCGTGTTTATTCAGTGTAACAATACATACTATTTTCTGTTCACACGTATTCATCAAGAAATGCAAATACTACATTTACAAACCAGAATAAATATTTAAAATATTGATCTTTTGTTGTTTCTCCCTACTTCTACACAAATGAAGGAAGATGGAGGTGTTTGGAGATCCCTTTCAATGCATTAACCACAAATGTCAGGCTCTTCAAAGGTGAGGAAGTCATCCAAGAGATGTAAGAATTAAAGATGTACTTGATGCCATAGTTATTGGTAGTAATCCAGCAAATAGCTTGTGCAAGGCAGTCGAAGATTCTAGGACTAGATCTGTTAACTATTATTTGTCAGTCTTGCTTCATAAACCTGGATGAATTGTTCATATGTAGCACTATTCTAACATAGCCTTAATGCTATAGCCACTGCAATACACTTGATGAAATTGACATTTTTTCTGCTGTAACATTCATTTACTGGAATTAAATGTATATAACATGCATTGTTGAGGTAGCTACTGGTATTTGTGGTACTGTAAATAACTTTTTATTTGTGAGATTCAGAACTTTACTTTCACGTAATATTACGCGAGGTGTGCTCGCGAAAATTTAATTCTTGTGTATAATAGTATCCCTTAGATTACATAGAGCAATAACCCCAATTCGTGAAAATTTTGTCTCGCTAATCAAGAGTCAATGACTATCCTCGCGAAAATAAGGTGTTGCGAAAATTGAGTGATTTACAGTATATAAAAGTGTGGCCACACTCATATACTAGTGCTATAAATAGCTACATAAGGTTAGTCTTTTATTATAAATCCTTTATTTAAATATGAAGGTTGTAGGACTGGTTCAAGTCACATTATAAGAAACTAAATAGTCTCATGGGTGTCGATACACATACTTTTTAAACCAATGTTTCGTAATATATTTTGTAAAACTTTAAATATAATGATAATCTCAGTTCTTTTATTTTGATCCTATTTATACATACCGGTAATTTTATTACAAAAAGTGAATAAAATTAAGGAAAAGTATATTTTAGCCCTCTCCCTAGACTTTCTTCTGAGTCATAAAAAAGTAAATTATTGTTATAAATCTTTGTTCCAGACAAAAATGTTATTAAAAAGTACTGACTACTGCTCTAAATCAAATGTAAGATTTGACATAATGAGATTATTTTGACTTAAACAAAATAAACAATAACTAAACATCTTTTATACGTTGTAGATTTCTGTAGAAATCTAACTTTTAGTTTTATTCATGACGAAATAGTCAATCCGGAAATTTTTGGGTTGTCCTTGTGAACTTGAGAAAAAAAATCCCGGAAGTTCCCATGGTGCACCACTGCCACGTACCTGCCATCTTGCTGTAAATAAACTAACGAAACCGGTCTTTACTGCAGAAAATTTTCATTCAGACTTCGTTTTTGTCGTTGACCGCACAAGGGCTAAGAAGAAATGGGTGGATATTGGAGTTCAGGAGAAGTTCCTGGTGGAGGCACCGAAGGGTACCATGTTCTCCGGGTAAAGAGGACATGAATATGTTCATTGAGATTCAAAAAAAAAAAATACACTCCTGAGAAAATGTTTTTATCAATATTGTCATATGAACTGAAATTCATAAATTTGAGATAATCAGTGAATCATTTTGATTTTGTGTCGATAGCAATGATATTGCAGTCATTATCGATCTCGGTATAAAATCGATTTTGGGCATTGTTTTTTTTTTCAAAGTGACCATGTGTTCGTGGCATGACATACAAATTGCCATGTTTTTTCATACTCTTGTAACCATTATCATTTATCCAACATGATAAAGAATTTATTTGTTAACGTATCGAAATATTTTAAAATATTAATACATCAGTCTAGTTGTATTCCGAGATTCCTCCGACTCTTACCCCTGCTTTTTATATTGTGACGTGCAGAGAAGAGTTGGAGCTGAGGCCATGTTGAAAAGTGGGAATTGAGCGACACCAGCTGGTGTCGCAACTCAGCCTACGTTTTACAGCTTTATTTCACAGATTCAAGTTCCGAGATGAGAGAACTCAGTAAAGAGATGATTCTTCTACAACTTAATCATCACTAAAACAATACTACAGCCATTTAAAATGCTCTACCACTGACAATTGAAATATCACTTGAGTTAGACTGCTTCCTCGCCCTTTGACTTCTTTGCGCATGACATATTTGAACAATAAAGAAATTGTGTTGTTTCAGGTGCAAGATGGATCCCCTGGACATAAAGCTGGTCTGGAAGCATTTTTCGACTTCATTGTTGCTATAGGAAATACAAGATTGGTCAGTATAACTGATTCGTAAGACATTTGTCATGAAGTAATTGTGATTAATATCAAATTCACATACATTTCACAAATGTGAAGTATGGAACAATGATAATGAAAAATATTCTATAAAAAAGAACTTTAAACCAAGATATGCATATTTTTTTGCTACAACTAGAAATAAATGGAGCAACATGACATGATGTTGACTCTGAAGATATCCTGCATTGTAAGATAGAAATAAGCTGATTTCGTCTTTTCCCCTAGAATGAGGATAATGACACCCTCAAAGATTTACTGAAGGCAAACATAGAGAAACCTGTGAAGATGGCTGTATACAGCAGTAAGACTCAGTCTGTTAGAGCAGTGACCATTATACCAAGTCACAACTGGGGCGGCCAAGGGTTACTGGGAGTTAGTATCAGGTAAAGTACCTTCATTATCGTATATTTACACTTTGTATTTTCTGTTTTGTTTAATTATAGAGGATACATCATTGAGTTTGGTGAAGTAATGGTATTCAGAAGGGTATTTCATTTGGCATGTGTGTTTTAACTCTGGTTGGATTTATTTTGCAGGTTCTGTTCCTTTGAGGGTGCCAATGAAAATGTTTGGCATGTTTTGGTAAGTGTTGTAAGAATACAGTCAAATTTTGTTATCTCGAACTTAATGGGACTGAGAAAAGACTTGGAGATATCTGAGAATTCAAGATATTGAAGGTAAAATACTTAAAGAATATGTGGTTGGGACTTCCAAATCAATTCGACATTTGGTATTTGAGATATTGGAGTTCGAGATACCGAAGTTCAACTGTACTTATTTTCAGTAGGGATTGAATATGTTTTGTACTTTTTTCATTGTATGTAAAATGACAATAAATTAAGTTTGCACTCAGTATAAAACAATGAATTTAATTTGTTCATTCATTTCATTGTATATGATATGCCATGGGATTAGACTTGATTTCATGTTCATTGAATTCCAGGATGTACAACCCAATTCTCCTGCAGATTTAGCTGGTATGAAGACAGATACGGATTACATCATAGGAGCTGACTCAGTGTTACATGAGGTACACACTCACAAATTAAATGCTTACTTTAGCATTTCCCATATCTTCTTAAAAAGTTGCAAAAGAAATCAAAATGCTATAGATTTTTTTTTCTTCAGATGATATTGACCACATGCATCCCCCGCAAAGATTTTAAATAATGTGTTTTTTTTTTCTAAAGATTTTTACACAACATATTGAAAAAATTGAAATTGGTGATGCTCTGTTTTTTTGTTTTTTTTTTTAAAGCAAAATAACCCCCAAATGAGTCTTTGTGAGACTTTTTCTGTTTAAAACTTAAAAATGTAACAAATTAATGCATCATATTTCAAGAATTGTCCGCTTTTATGTCATGGCATTCATATGTACAACTCATATTTGAAATCATTTTGAAAGCATCAAAACTGATAAGACCTGATAAACTTAAACCTGCTTCTTTTCAAAATTGATAAAATATTTTTAATGATTGAATTCCTTTAATTTCAGTCAGAAGATCTGTTCACATTAATAGAAAATCATGAGGGTAAACCATTGAGACTGTATGTGTATAATACAGAGACAGATTCTTGTCGAGAGGTTACACTAACTCCCAATGGAGCATGGGGTGGAGAAGGAAGGTAGGTTGTCTGGGCTTAAATTAATTTAATGTCTTATAGCTAACAAAGTCAAGATTGCTCATGTTATACCCAGATTGTTGGCGTCTGTGTTCAAATCCTAGTGAAAATTTTTGGAGCAAGTGCATTCTCAACTCAAGTTACTAAAATGTGTTTGCTTTTTATACCCCCGCAAACGAAGTTTAGGGGGGGGGTATATTGGAATCACCATGTCCGTCTGTCCGTCTGTCTGTAGACAAGATTTTGTCCGGACCGTTTCTCAGAAACTGTTGGATGGATTTGTCTGAAAATTTATACACTTATTATTCACCATATGAAGGTGTGCACCTGGTATTTTCATCATGATTGGATGATTTTTCTGCATTTTACAGGCGTTTTTTCTTTTTTATTTTGTGATTTTGTTTGGCTCATAACTAGAAAACTATTAGACTTACAATCATCAAACTTGGACAATTTATGCATCTTGGGTAGATGGTGTGTCCCGACCTATTTCAAGGTCACTGTGACCTTTAATTTAAGTGATTTTTTAAAAAAAACTAAGTCTTTAAAATTTTAAATTTCATAATCCTAAAAAATGTAAAAATATAGTCGTATCCTTATTAAAAAATGCTAAATTAAGTAAAAACTTATTTTTTATCATATACTTTACAGCAAATTCTGTAACAAATGTTAATGATTTGAGAGGAATTCAGTTTGTCCCATGGGCATAATTATCAAGCACTGGTCAAGGAGAATTTTTGATAGCAGAAATGTACATGTCAAATTAGAGAGAAATTAATGAGTTCATTGTCGGGAGTTTACTGGCAAGAGCATCATGCAGTATTATCTTAATTCATCTCTTGGGAGTTGGGCAAAAAGAAATGGCCTTATAGTTGCTTGTGTTAATTAAGAGTTCTTGATGGCTGTAGTTCAGATAAAGATCTTTCAATTGATGTAATGTAATTAAAACAAATTGATGTTTTAGTGTATGATTAAAACTGAATTAGTATTGTATAATATAATTAAAATTAATTATACATGTGTTCATTGAAAAAAAATTACATTTCAATTTTTATATATTTGCAACAAATTGCAATCATGTCTCACTTAGAATTTTATAGTCTAAAGAATAATTAATTTTTGATTTTTTTTATTAGACTGTAGCATTTCCATTATTTCATAAAATATGCAATAAACAATTTAAAGCTGCAGATGGATATTTGTTAAGCTGTAACACAGCCAGTTTACAATTATATGATGTATAATTTGTTTTAATTAATCCCTACACTGTAAGTCTCTTAGAGATGTATGTACAATATTTTAAACATGATAAGAAATGGAAATTAGATCATTGAAATCTGTGTCAATCTGTTAATCAAGGTTACTTGATTTTCTTGCACCCTAACCAATTTATGATTATCGAACAATATTTGATGGGCGTATCATGCTGTGGCGGGGCACTTTATTAGACAATAGTGAACACCCCTTACTAGATCCATAAAATATTTCTGAATTGGCACCTACTCTGAAAAACCCAGCGGGGGTATTTGTCCCTATTGGACAGTTCTAGTTTAAGTATGATATGTAATTCAAAAATATTTATCTGTGTCTTTTGAAAATAAATTTTATCATAGTCATCAGCAGATTCATGATTTATAACTTTTTGGGGGGAAGTACATGTAATATGATAATTTAGATATGATATTTCTCTACAGCTTAGGTTGTGGTATTGGCTATGGCTACCTCCATCGTATTCCTAAACGTCAGTTTCCCTCATCAAAGTCCAGTGTTACGCCATCAGCTCCTCCACAACCTTCTAAGGATGGTTTTGCAGAGGTAAGCACGAGATATTTATTCTGTCTTAGCCGATAGTTCTTTGTAGAATCCTAGAGATCTTGAACAATATATATTTTGTACAAGTGCATGCATGTGTAGACATTGTTGTCATACATGTTTTAACAAATCTAAGTAGAAAATAGAAAATCTGATCAGAGAATTAGATTTGATGTGTGTATTTGACTGTAGAGATTGGGTCATGGAGTGAGCTTGCCTCCCTCGGGTGTGAGTCCGTACAAACAACAGTTGAGGGCCGACCTGAACTATTTTCAGGAGGTAACCACACACAGTAGTACTGACTGGCTTGTGTGTAACCTCTACTTTTTGCTGTTACTTTCTTTTTAATCCTGAAAAAAATAATTATTTTTATCAATCTGAGTAACTTAGATTATTTAATGTAAACTAACCTACATACTGACATACTATCAGTGATATTACTTGTAGTTATTTTTGTCTAAAAGTGGGAAATAACTAAATAATCATGCTTGCAAAACTCATGTAAGATGGTCTATCTATTTAAAGTGAAATTCAAAAGAATAAAGAACAGGATTTGTTTTCAAAATTATCTCTGGAATGTCATCAGTCTGTTTTTCAGAATTTTTTACTTACACTGTATTGCAAATAAGTAGCTAAAATCTGTTCTTAAGAGTACTGTAAATCACTTTTTATTCGCGAGAACTTTATTTTCGCGTAAATACGCGAGACGGTATGCTCGCGAAAATTTCATTCTTGCATATAATAGACTTACTTAAGATTATATAAGGTACTGTCCACAATTCGTGAAAGTTTTGTCTCGCTAATTAAGAGTCAATGACTATCTCGCGAAAATAAGGTGTCGCGAAAATTAATTGATCTGCAGTACTTGCCAAAAAGTGTAAGCTTCAAGAGAGAAATTTCCATTGTTATTTCCTGTTCTTGGACTACTTTACTTGCTTTCTTTCATTACAAATCTTGCTCTTTGATATAAAGTAATACTGTGTTACTGTATTTTAAAATGCAAGAACTTTTTTCATTGAAAAAAATGGCTATTTGTAGTTAAATCATCTGTCATTTAGAGTTTTTGATTTTCAATCTCCTTGTTTATTTCATAATTTCATTTCAGTTTCTGTTGTGCCACACATTGCTGTTTAGAATTTCATGTTGTTTTCAAAAATGAATTTTTCCTATGCTAGATACAAGATTCACGATTTAATGTTTAAATGTTGTTATTATCTTACTTATTTATAATGAAAAGTGAATTTTGGTGAACACATACCATGGAGGGTTTGAATTTATTAACCGATATAGTATAGTTCACACATTTGCTCAAATATAGAATATATCTTTAACATTTATATGATTAATACATGTACAAAATTCATACTGTTTGTTGAGCTAATTCTGCCATGAGTAGAAATTTAGGCATTTGTAAGACTCGTGTTATTTCAATTCTTCGTAATATTTACCAACAAAAGTAGTGTGTGTATGTGTTAAAAATAAAATATATACATTGTATGTACATGTATAACCTTGAGGAATGGGAATCTAGTTTATTTTAAAATTATAGTGATATAAATGCAATATATTTAAAAATGTTTTTTGTTTAAATATTTATTCTATGCTAGAATACATTACATTGTAATATAAAAACAGTTATTTTAATGACATAATAAAATCTTGTATTATATTATTTACAGGTGCCTCTAGGTGGAACTACAGGAATCACACAGGACATGTCAAATCTTAACATCAATACTGGTAAGAAACAGGATTATCTAACATTTTAGTTTGTATGTTTTAGCATTTACACCTTACATTCAATAAATCATAACACAGTGTAATTTTTTTGCCAACTTTTTAAAAAATATTTACAATTTGTTGTTTATGAAAAAATGATGCCAAAGGTTACATTTTAAACATTTCATAATTAAGAAAATGGTGACTAGAAGCAAAAGTTGTATAATTGATGAATATGCATTTCTTGTTGCTATTTAGGTACACCAACCATTCCAGTAATACCCCAGACTGACAAGTTACCAGGGGTCCAGCCCCCAATGGTCTTACCCAACTTCTCAATGGGGGCCCCAACAGGTACAGTTATTGATGGTTATTTTTCATTACCTACCTGATTTAAGCTTTAATATTTGGTTAAGGTTTGCTAACACCATAGCAGGGGCTTAAATTGGTATGGATTTTTTTTTTATTTAAGGCATCCCCCCTCCCTCTACATTACCTGCTGGCATTGGGAACCTTCCGTCATTAACATCTATTCCCCCCTTGACTACCCCTGTATCTTTACCAGGGATGCCACCGGGAATGGTGCTTCCAAGTAAGTTTTAATTGTGGTGATGTGTGGGAATGTTATGATTAATCATCTAGATACATATAATTATTGTCATGTGTCTAACTTGAATATTGAAAATCATTTAGTATAATGTTTGAATGACTTTAATGACTTGGCTGACAATCAGTTGTTATGTGTAAATCTTAAGATTTTTTTTTTCATTAGGATAATCAAATGTTTTTGCAAGTACACATGTCAAGTATTCTTTTTTTGACTTTTTCAGATGCAGCACCGGGAACAACAGTACCAAATTTTCCCATGCCAACTTCAATGCCCCTACCAACATCAGTGCCCCTACCAACATCAATTCCTCTTCCCAGCTTCCCCCTCCCCACACAAACTCTGGTGACCTCTCCAGCTGGTGGGGTCCCACCTTTCTCAGCCCCCACTGGGGTCCCTCCACAGGTGTTACCCACACCTGTATCTACTGACACCACAAATGTAACAAATGTGGACACAACAGCTGTTAATCATGGACAGACAGCGCCACCAGAACCAGTGGCAGCGTCATCATAGCTATTATAGTCTGTAATGTAGTATAGTTATTCCAATTCTTTTTTTTTTTTCATTTTTGATTGCTACATTTAATGATAAGTACTGGTCTTGATGTTTTTTTTTATTTATTGATACTCTATTGGTTGCATGTACATAATGTCACACTCACCTTGTAAGAGATCCATTGATCTGTTTATTAATATATTGAATCTGCATGATACAAAGTAAGTGGAGGTATATGTGAAGTTGTGTCTAGATTAATGAGATTGTTGAAAGTAAAAAAGTAATGCATTATCTTTGAAAAAGAGGGTACTATTTACAAATAGACAAATTTCACATTCCTAAGAGTTATCTCCCCTATTTGGCGTAAAGCTCATTTTCCCCACTTTGTCCTTTTTAAGTTACCTGTTAATAATTTTTAATCTTCAAATGTTATCGGACAATATCGATCTGTACCTGTATTGCCAGAGTATGGGGCAACATGAAAAATGTAATTAACATATTCATACAGATTTTGTTTCTGAGATACTGACCCATAAAGTTGGTAAGGTTATAGAGGGAAAACAGTGTCTTACACCAGTTGACCCCGGATTGACTCTGCAAAGGGGAATAACTTTTGTAAATGTGAAAGTCGTCTGTTATACAAGTTTTATTAAATACAAGGCATCATTTAGATTTTGAAAATTAAAGGAAAAAGTACACAATTTTTACTAATCAGTTTAAAATTTGCTGTGCATGTATTTTCTTGTATATATAATATATAATCAGATATTTATGCACTGTTGCATAGTTGAATGGAATTATTGGGGATATGTAAATGTACATTGGTTCATTCCAGAATATTCTTACATTTGTATGAAAAAAATTATATCGACTTCTGAAAGTGTAGATGATCAAGTCATTACTGAATTTAAATACAGTGTATAAGAAATTGAATCAAATCATGAATCCTGTGCAGTTGTCCATTCAGTGCTAGTGACATTTGGATGAACTTTTTATGGTTGATTGCAAGGCATGATCAAAGTTAGGAAATTGCAAGTCATCAGTTAAAGTCCTCTAAGGTCTTGATAGGTTCTTTGTCATCCTTATAATGTAGTTATGTACAGCAAGTACAGTAAAACTCGTTTAGTACGAACGCGGATATTGTGAATTCTTGTTATAGCGAAGTCATCTTTGATCCCCAGCTATATAAATTTCATGAATTTCAAATACGGATATAACGAATTACGGATATATAGCAAAGTAATTTTATAGGTCCCAGCCACTTCGTTATAAGTGAGTTTTGCTGTAGTCATGTATAGTTATTGCATTTATAAATAAATGAATCTTCATTACATTGCTAATGGATAATACAAGTTCTTTGTGTAAATTAAAATTGAGGTTTTCTAAAAAGAAAAAAAATATTTATTTACACTTGGCAAACCTTTTATCATGTTGAAACATTTTTATGGTTGAAGTCAATTTTCATATACAGTATGTACATGTAAAAGGTATATGTCTTTACTTGGTGAAATGTAAAAAAAGTGATTGGAACTGGAGAATATGAGTGAGTGCTACAAACTTTCAGTAAATAATTCTTTTTTTTGGTTCATCTTTTATGAAGCATTTGTTTTTGCTTGGTGTATACTTATGTTTAAAAATAGAAAATAAAGTTTGTTGTAAATTACAACATGTAAAAATGGTCTGAAGGTGGTTATTATGGTTAAAACTGTGCTACAGTATTGCCAGTTTGTGCTCTTTAGGGTAATGGAAATATTGACCCTACAAAAGCTAAAATACTGTAGATTAGGAAATGATCACGATGGTTTTAATTTTGCTATGTTCACGTTTTATCATTTATCTGCAAAATTAATCCCATCATGAATGCTATCATTAATTTTTAAACACTTACTTATCTTTATACGAATTTTAAATTAATTTCTTGCTGCGTGAAATTACAACCAACGTGATTGTTACTTCCTTAGTGATCGTGAAATTTTAACACCGTGATATTGAAATGATTTACAGTACTTTCAAACTTGTGTAAATATGAGAACTGGCATTAAAGATGATTTATGTACTAGTATGGAACAGGTCCTAAGAGGAACATATCAATGCTAAAAGTAAAACAGTGTCTACTTGATACTCCAGTAATGTATAGAATACATTAGACCTTTATCCTTTGTAGTTCTACAAAAGTGGTAGTTGACCTGTTCATATAAAGGTCAAGGTCAAATTAACCCTGAGACTCAAATATACTCTGATCATCATCTGACCTTTTCAGTCTCAAAATAGCTAAAAACTACCCGGTAATAATAGCTAAAAACTAGAACACATCCTAAACAGATTACTTTGGGGTCAAAAGATCAGCAAGCCAGTTCAGAGATTTTTTTGTACCGGCTTAAGATAAAAAGCAGCATGCATGCATTTAGTGGAGTAGAAGGGCACTTTTAGAGGGGTGGGCATGTCCATAAGGATTTATTTTATATTATACTTCATTGCAAAAGCTCAAAAGCTATTTGAGCTTTTTGTGTCACAGTCAAAAAATTAAATCCAGTACTTCAGACAGGGTTATCATTGCTACTTATTGTGAAACTATACTAGGCAAGTAGGTAGTTACTACTACAAGCCTTGGTTAACGTCCCTGCACCACTTATATAGACCTTGTTAGGAGTTGCCAGTCAAAAATATCTCACCATGAACCTCTAACTTGCTGGAGTAGGCAAGTAGTTGTACTTATTACATGTGTATAACAATTAAATTTTTACCTCTGGAAATCACGGGAAAAGAGTCTGAAAAAAAACTGCAGAGAAAATTTATTTAAAAGTCTTAGCTTTGGCTAACATAAGAATTGAAAGATATAGTTTCATCAAGGTAATCCAAGAATAAATGTCTCCGTAAAGGGCAGAAGTTTGAGATATTATCTGGAAACAATCTGGTTACAAGTTGATATACAAGTTTGACTTGGTCTTTCACCTTAAAATTAATGAAGAATGTTTCAGAAATTAAGATCGACATAATTAAAGCAAATCTGGTGACCATTTCATTCTGTATAGAAATTGTCATATAGTGTTTGTCATGTCCGTTTTCCGTCCTTCCGTCACACTTTGTGTTTAGCTCTGCTCAAAGCTCAGTTTCAAAGAAAGTATCCGAGATATTTTCATCGAACTTCACATGCTGATAGATATTGATGAGAGCTATGCAACCGCTTCAACACTTTTTGACCTTGACCTTTCCTTTGACCTCACTTTTCTTAAATTAGTGTTTAACTCAGTTTTAAACATACCATTCAATATGGTGTAATCAAACTTCACAAGTTGATACATACTGATGAGCTATTCAACTGCATCATCATTTTTGACCTTGACCTATCCTTTGAACTTGACCTTACTTTTCTTTAATTAGTGTTTAGACCAGTTTTTAAAGATACCTTTCAAGATAGTATTATCAAACTTCATATACTGATACATGCTGAAAAGAGCTATTTCACCGGATCACCATTTTTGACCACTACCTTTCCTTTGACCACACTTTTCTTAAATTAGTGTTTAGCGCAGTTTTTAAGAAACCATCCAACATATTTTTATCAAACTTATATGTTGATACATATTAATGAGAGATATGCAACTGCATTCAACATTTTTGACTTGACCTTTGCTTTGACATTGACCCCACTTTAAAGAAGTTATTGTCAAGTTTCATATGCTGATACATATTGATGTAAGCAATTCAACTGTATCAACATTTTTTACCTTGACCATTCATTTTGACCTTGACCTCACTTTTATCAAATTGTACTCAAGTCAGTTTTAAAGAAACCATTTATATTTTTTTCAATTTCATAAGCTGATACACACAGTAACACACTGATGAGAGCTTTTCAACTGCATCAACATTTTTTGAGTTGACCTTGGCATTTCCTTTGACCTTGACCTCACTTTAGAGAAATTAGTGTCAAACTTCATATGCTGATACATACTGATGTAAGCAATTCAACTGCATCACTATTTAAGATATTCTGATCAGATTTCATACACTAATACAAATTTTCATGTTGCGTTACTAATATACCCTCAGCGGGGTATTCATATCCTATGGACATATTTCTAGTTATCAGTAGAGTCATTATACCCCCCGCAAACGAAGTTTGGGGGGGTATATAGGAATCACCTTGTCCGTCTGTCCGTCCGTCTGTCTAGCTGTCCGTCTGTCTGTGCAATCGTGTCCGGTCCATATCTTTCTCACAGAGGGACATTAGAATATACTACTCCACACTAAGATTGCCCTTGACCCAAGGGTGTGTCATGACCTTGACCCAAGGTCATTTGGGGAAGTTCAAGGTCACTGGAAGAAAAATTTCATAATTCGTGTCCGGTCCATATCTTTCTTATGGATAAACTTGGTAGATTCTCATTTCACACAAAGATTGCCCATGACCCAAGGGTGTGTCATGACATTGACCCAAGGTCATTTGGGGAAGTTCAAGGTCACTGGAAGAAAAATTTCATAATTTATGTTTGATACATATTTTTTTATGGATAAACTTGGTAAGTTTTCATTTCACAAAAAGATTGCCCTTGACCCAAGGGTGTGTCATGACCTTGACCCAAGGTCATTTGGGGAAGTTCAGGGTCACTGGAAGAAAAATTTTATAATTCGTGTCCAGTCCATATCTTTCTTATGTATAAACTTGGTAGGTTCTCATTTCACACAAAGATTGCCCATGACCCAAGGGTGTGTCATAACTTTGACCCAAGGTCATTTGGGGAAGTTAAAGGTCACTGGAGGAAAAAATTTCATAATTCATGTCTGGTCCATATCTTTCTTATGGATAAACTTGGTAGGTTCTCATTTCACACAAAGATTGCCCATGACCCAAGGGTGTGTCATGACCTTGACCCAAGGTCATTTGGGGAAGTTCAAGGTCACTGGAAGAAAAATTTCATAATTCGTGTCTGGTCCATATCTTTCTTATGGATAAACTTGGTAGGTTCTCATTTCGCACAAAGATTGCCCATGACCCAAGGGTGTGTCATGACCTTGACCCAAGGTCATTTGGGGAAGTTCAAGGTCACTGGAAGAAAAATTTCATAATTTGTGTTTGATACATATCTTTATTATGGAAAAACTTACTTCTGAAAAACCCATATTTTGTCCCGTTTGGACAGTTCTAGTTACAACTTGACTTTTTTACCACAAGATTTACCACAAGAGTCATTGCAAAGGCTCAAAGAGAATAAAACTTCAGTGCAATATTACACAAGGGCGAGATGAATATTGTCCTTCCAAGATGGCTAAATCAATATACTAGTATTGCCTGGAAAAACAGCACACGTATACAGATTTGAAATATAAAGTTTAGCAAGACCATTGTGGTAGTATTCTTTGTTTTATTAGGTGACACTAGAATTGTCATAACAATCATATAAAGGTGTAACAATAAAAATCATGAGACTTGGTGAAACATTTACACACTACAATAAGAAAAAAAAAGGAAAAAGGGGGGATAAAAATCACAGATCAACACTTCGTACACCATCACAGATTGATCAAAATCTCCCACACAATACCGTATATGAACACCTCCAACACGCACAATTTTATATTATATATCATTACCTCACACACACTATTATAAATGTATATCAACATCTCCCACACAATATCAAATATCATCATCTCATATCCTCTGTTTATCAGTAATGCTGAAACTTTTATGTTTGGATTGTGTATAGAAAACCACTTTTATAATTGCTTTCACACTCTGAAGAGAAATACATTCCACTGCCAGGGATGTACCACAGGCTCTTAATTATTTTGATAATTTTTTAATCCATAGTATAATAATAACATTACTGTTACATGTATTATACTTTGGGTTAAAAATTTATCATCGAAATAATTGCCTGTGGGATAAGCCCTAAACACATTGATATGGTAATTTGGGCATTACAAGAATTTTACACAATATAAAGGCTGGATAACTGTGTGCCAATAATGTACACTTATAAAAATGTTATCTCAATAGCACTTTTCTGATTAATCTTGCTACACTTATTATGTAGCAATATGACATACAAAAAAAAGATGTTTCTTCATTTTCAAATTCCAATAGACCCATAAAATGCTCATTAAATGTTAAAACTATCAATATTTTGAATAGAGAAATGTGCAATAACTTTTATCACCATTCATGCTAAGGGAGACAGTTTTCATTTTATTAATACTTATATACACTTGTTTTCTCTCTCTCTCTCTCTCTCTCTTGATAAATACATATATAATGATAACATATATCAGATTTCTCTCATAAACATTTGTAGGATTCCTTTGTGCAAATTGATGTAAACATAGGAGATCATACCATTTAAAGTTACAAGAAAAAACATATACCTAGTAACATTCATAGGATTGATACAAATTAATTGATAAAATAAATGTAATAAACATTTCTTGGATATTTTTTTTATGCAATAAACATTTCTTGGATATTTTTTTTTTCATTATTGCAAAAAAATTATATTTTATTATTTAGCTATGTTTTCATCTTGAGTTAATTAGTATAAACCAATATGGTATTTTACAACAAAAACATATATTATTATGATCTTTTATGAACAATTCAATGCCTGCCAATTTTCCAATGTTTCAAAGGCATTCAATCAATATTACTTTACTATATTATAGAAGCTAATATAAGAAATCTTAATAAATATAATAAAGCATATACATGTTGTAAAATATTTGCTAAATACCATTAAAGTAAACATAATATAAATATATATGTAATACTTGTACTATAATGACTGAATATTAAGCTAATTAATAATAAAATACAGGTGATTCATATTTCCTTCTAAAAACAAAGATTAGACTTTTTAAAACTTATGAATTCCATAAATATACATGTATAAAGCACAGAAATTCACATTTAAACAACATACATTGTATTATGATCATACAGACTGTGAAATCACAGATTTTCATGATGGTATACGTTTTCCATTGTTTTGTTTTTTCGTGGTATGAAGAAATATTATAAAATTTCAACCATAGAGTTAAACATTCCATGCACCAATATTTCCATCTTTAAAAAAATCTAATCCAAAGAAAATAAGTGATTTCGAAGTACATGTATGTTCAGTTCTTGTAATGTATGGATGCAATGTATGACTACCGTAATTGTAACTTTTGTACTAAGTAAAACAAATCATAGTACATTTTGAAATGTATTGGAAGCATCGTCATTTGATTATAAAGTCATGAATGCAAATGTGACTACAATATAATATGTGAGATGACTTTCTATCAACTATCAGTACATGTATATCAGTCAACATGTGGCATTTTCCATTTTTTCAATGAATACAATTATTCATCACCTGCCTGGCATGAATTAAGGCATGTAATACTGGAGGATTTAAACCCATTTAAATAAAAATCATAAAATGAAAAAGGCTTTAACAATTCATGAAAAAAAAACAGACTAATATCCTTTTCTAAAATGACATATTACAGTTTATAGAGTTTAATTTAAATTTAAAGATTTTAATTCGTATAAAAAAGGAGGGATACTCTAACATATACTCTGAGCTGTTAGCAAGAGTTTAGCCTAGTGTACAGCTTTATTTTTGAGCTACAATCTTGCTATTGTAGCTATGTGCATACAGCAAGTAGCACCTTGAAATGTTGATCTGCGGCAACATAGAAAATGTTAGGATTTCTCATCGATGAGCAACCATGTTCTGTTATTGGTCATTTCGATTTACCAATCAAAATTCATCTTTCCAACTTATCAAAACACACAATCAATCAGTCAAACAGGATGATTGGTTGTTAATGCATGAAATTTACTCCTGGATAATATTTTATGTTTGACCAAAATATATATTTTTTTTCATTCTCACTTAACAGGTTCTTGCTTTTGTGTTTTCTCAAGTTCTTTTTGTTTCATTTCAAATTTTTTGGATTTGCCTTCAAAACATTCACCCAAGAAGTCCTCTAAACTTTCATATAAATGTTTCCTCGTGTTTCCACCTCGCAAGCCATGTTGTTGATCAGTGTAAACCTGTAAGGATATCAACAACAGTAGAATGATCATGAGTTCTTTGGACGAATTCAGAGAATGAATCAGTAAGTTAACTACATGTATTCATTTGGTTTCAAACTTAATGTGTCTAAATAACATCACAGAAGCTGAACCAATGTGATTTCTTTATGAAATTTATTATTTCTTACAGAATTGCAAGAGGCATATTGGTCACTGTCATGAATAAATACTGCTTACTCTTATATATATCAAAAGATTTAAGTTAAAAAAATGTACAGTGTAATTGAAAATTTTACACCTCCTCTACCTGTAGTCTGAAGAAAACATCCTTTTCTACTAGAGCTTTTATGAACTGGGCCGAGTTTTGGAAGTGTACATTATCTACAATAAGCAAAATAAAGAAACTGTTAACAGAAAATAATTAATTTTTTTAAAGAATTTTTTAAGAACTTGCAATTTGCTGCATAGATTCGATGTTGTGTCAGTGTTTCCTATGATTGAATGTACAAAGTGTAGATATCCATTCCATCATATGTTAATGACTTAATTTTAGTATGAATCATATCAATTAAATAACAGGTTTCACTGTTTAGAACTTACCATCTCCTGTTCCATGGACTAGCATGTACTTAACATGTTTGAAATTCTCTGCATATTGTGAAACATTAGAGGACTGCAAAAAAAATATATATACAGTTGAACTTCGGTATCTCGAATACCATGGATATGTCGAAGTGATCTGGAAGTCCCAACCACATATTCTTTAAGTATTTAACCTTCGATATCTCGAATCCTTGGATATCTCAAACTTTTTTCTCAGTCCCATCAGGTTCGAGATAACGAAGTTTAACTGTATTATGAAAAGTTCTTAATGACTTCATTAACTTTACCAAGTTATTACAATGTCCTTATGATTGTTGCATGCATCTTAACAATTCATAAGCATTTTAATAAGATATTGCCTTAGTACACTCTTAAAGAATGAGTTTAACATAAAAATTTATCTAGGGCATACCTTGTATCCTAGGACATTATCATGTGGCATACCCATGTATCTTTCTGTGTACACAGAGTCTGAAATTATTTTACAAAAGAATTTACTTGACATAAATCTTTTTTAACAGATACTGACACTTAATAGTAAAACTGATTACACCTTAAGCTTAAATGTACTTCATCTTTTGAAAATTGAAGAATATATTATTTTTTTTCAAGCATTTAATTAATTATTTTTAGAGAAATCTTGAGATGTTTAGATACCGTAATAATGCCAGTCAGTAACAGGTGCTACTGATATACCACACTCAAACAGTCCATTTCCTCGACCAATCACAGCAGCTGTTGTATAACCACCATAAGACTGTAACAGTTAATACCAAGTTTAATATAAATATCTTAAGTGAAAGGCTTTATAAATCCAGATTACAGTAAAATGATGTTTCCTTACCCATCCCCAGATAGCTTTCTTGCTGGATTCCACGTATGAGATATCATTAAAATACCTTCAAATTTAAAAAAAAAATGCATTTATAAATTTTTGATATTATAATTATTAAAATTTGGGAATATTTTATGCATATGTAAATCTTTGTTTGTTTGTTGTTTAACATCCCTCTTGAGAATTTTTCACTCATATGGAGATGCCATCATGTGCTGTTGGATAGCTACAAACTTTGACCTGTGCTCTGCACTCAGGGCCATTGAGCAGTGAGGGATCTTTTTCTTGCCAGCACTTACAGTGACATGGGATCTTGGTTTATACAGTTTTATCAAAAGGACAGGTCCCCGCATCCCACAGTGGCCGGGATTCGAACCCACAAAGGATCAACTCCTTACTCTTCAACTCTAGAGCAGATGCTCGATCTCAAATTTCAATGCAATCAAAAATAGCAAATGCAGAATTTAGTTTAAGGAAGACTTCAGTTTCATGGTACAATGGTTAGAGTGTTTGCTCTAGAGTAAGGAGTTGGTTATTTCATCGCAAATTTGAATCCCACTTCGGGACTTTGACCTGTCCTTCAGATGAGACTGTATAAACCAACATCTCCTGTCACATTAGGTGCTGGCATTAAAATGACCTCATTGCTTAATGGCCCCGAGTGCCAATACATGTATATAGGTCTAAATCTGCAGTCCCCCACTTGCAAGTAGTGGCATCTTAACATGAAAGAAAAATAATTCTGGGAAGGGATTTCAACAAGCAAACCACTTATGACTTAGGATTTCAAATTTAAATGGCAAAAAGATATGTGAAAGTTCATCAAAAAGTCTAGTTCTTGTACCTTCCAGCTTTGATAGTGTCATCTACTTCAGCAGACCCCAGGCTCTTGTAAATGGTATGGAGCCATTTTTGTCCCCTCCCTGAGCTGCCTCGGCCATCAGCATAAGCCACAATGTAGTTCTTTGAGCTTACCAAGAAATCCTCCCAGCCAAGCTGGAATTTGTAGGTCACTTTCTGTGAGTCTGGTCCACCATACCTGGTAGGTGACAAATATCTGGTCAATCACAGTGGACAGAGAATGCACTTGTTAGTGAGCACTGCTGATTTAAAGTTAAGATACTTACACACTAAAAAGTAGGGGGTATGTGTAGTGTTGGTTTGTGTCCAAAATCGGGGGTAGCAACATTTTTGCATACATTGCTGTCGAGAAAATAAAGATAAGTTTAACTTATGTACAGTAGCTCTTGAACATCATTCATTCAAAAAAAGAAAGTTAAAATGGAGCATAGATAATGCAAGAACTCTGAGTATGTACTTACTTTCTTTGTCATTGATAGGAATCTCAACATATTTGGCAACTGGAAGAGCTTTATTAGCAAGCCTCTTTTTCAAATGGTCATTATTTTCAAATGTGACCTCTGAAATTCAAAGAAATATTTAAACATGTTTTGTGAAAAGAGAAAATTTATGTAAGATTTTTTAAAAAATCTTTATGAAGTTTATTTATGCTTCCAAACTATGTTTCTTTTTTCAAGATTTTTTAAAGATTTCTTTTAAATTAGAAAGTTATAGACAACAGTGTAAAAACATGTATTCAAATATATACTAGCATATATTAATATGTAAATTTATAAACTAATTACAATCTTAGTAAAAAAGCAACCCTTAGTTTACCAAATTTATGTACTCATTTCTATCAATGCCATATGTTACTACCTAGCAATGTACGGATGTAACTAATAATATCTTAAGCGTATACACTAAATGTAATACAATTTCTTTTCGAATTTTGAATTTGAACATTAGACTAGTTTTATTGGTGCTTATATGTGGTGGATATCGAGAGCTGTCTCATATATGTTTACAGATTTTAAAACAAACTGTTTGTTAATTAAATTACCGGTAATACAGAAGCACATGGAAAAAGTCAATTAAAAAAAAAACTTTTATATTAATTTTGTGCAGCAGCAAATGCAGTTAAATGATGTGCAGTATTAAAATTGGCAAATGCTAGGTATATGTGGATTCCTTTGTTTGGAATAGAACTAGTGAATTTTTAGAAGTGACGATGTGGAGAGAATTTAATGTTTCAAACTGGTTAAAGGAGCTCCAAAGTCAGTTAGTACCTCTTTACTGTACTACACAAATAAGATGTACACAAAGAAATATATGACAGGCTGTTCAACATTTGCTTGTAATGAAATACAGAGTTCTATAATTTACATGTATCAGACTAATTATAAAAATATCATATATATAAACCATGACTTTATGCTTAAAGGTTTCGAGTCTACATGCATACTAAAATTCAATTCGAAGGAAAATTAAAATACAATGTACCCGGTACTTATTTGGACTGATGAGCTCCTCTTATCAGTAATCAAATAAACAATTAAAGGAATTTTTTCCCAACTTACCCGTTGAATTGTCATCTATATTGTTGTAATTTTAGATATTTTAAAGTTGATTTTTTTGCCATTTATACATATTATTCATGCTTACACATTCTGATAGAAAAATTGTTTCAATGTGTTAAAAGACTCACATTTTGCTTATAGATAGAAATTAATCTACACTTCTAAGAGTTACTTAAAACCTATCAGTCAATGCAATTTTCACACCAAAAGCAGGTACAATAGAGCTACAGCAGATAATTCTGATTTTGAGATTTTTGTTGCTTGTAATTGCTTTTAAAACACAGTTCATTTTCATGATACATTTGAATAGCTAAGATATAAACATTTCAATGAAGATCATCTCCAGTATGGTTATTACCTATGGAGGATTTCGTTGACTTTAGGACATAAAATGGCACTGAGGGCCCTAAACATCCCAGAATGTAGAACTTTCCGGAGTGGCTGAAGCTGGCTGACACATACTGACAGTCTGGGTTATAGTTACACGTGATACAGGTCGCCTGCATGGAATTGTCAGTTATCTTTGTACTCACACTGTCAATGAAATTAAAAGAGTTATAAATCATCAGAACGTTTTCAATAAATTTGAAGAGTTTGTTGTCCACTGATAATCTGATTTTCATGTAAATCTTATGAAAACTTATACCAAGAGACTAAAAATTATTGTAACAGGAAAGGACAAAAATGTGACCAACCAGACCAAGATTCAAACTCAGGCCACCTGAACCTCCAGTCAGGTTCTCTACTTGAGCTATCTGACCACAAGAAATCCAGCCTGCCCAACTGCCACATCCCTCCCTCCTTATACATCCCTAAAACACCAACCAGCCTCTTCAAGGGGTTTCACCTGTCATACCGTATAAGTGGAAATTTTAGCGAGACGCAAATTTAGCGATTTGTCCCAAAAACTGGTAATTTATTTTTAGCTAGATGTTATTTTAGCGTTTTTAAAATGCACGTTAAAGAAGTTATAACAAATAAAATACAATTAATTTTTAGCGATATTAATTTTAGTGATCTCGGCACCCTCGCTAATAATGCCAAAATTAAATCCTCGCTAAAAATTCTACTTATATGGTATCCTGGTCATGGCACCAATTTTAGAGGGAAGGGGAAAAAATGCAACAGACAAGACCAGGATTTGAACCTGAAATTCTTAAATCTCCTGTCAGGTGCTCTACCAACTGAGCTATCTGACCATAGATGATTGAACCTGCCTGACCAACACAATATTTATGGGATCAATGGTACAGACATCCTTTGAAATTAATTCTCATAACAATTTCATAGCAACTTCTTGGTATAATTTACTAAAATCAGAATATTATTTTATGTAATTACCTGTAAAGGTGTCTTTTCCTTGAATCCCCATTTGGAACCCCAATAAAGTACAGAATTTCACTTTCATCATCCAAGCCCACAATCTGCATTACATCTGATGTTCCTCCCGTTCGGAATTTCTTTTGTGCCAGAGCAGGATTCAGCTGAAGATTTAGGAAAAGATTTCTTACTATTAAACATCCATCAAAAAGGCACTGCTTCTGTCAACAATATACAGTCTACCATTTCTTTACATTTGGATAAATATGACTGTATCCGTTACTGGGCATATATAGCTCTAAGCTTTACAAAATTGCTGTGCTAACATCTTTATAGCAAATGAAATAGCAGCAAAACTGAGAATTATGTTTTGAAATCAGCAAAATATTTTCTTAAATTTAACTACAAGTACATGTATATTGTATAACAATAAAGAATTTATTTTGGGATTAAATCTACAGTGTATCTATGAAATACAGTAGGAATTTTATAAGCTTAAGTTAAAGCTGAATTAAAACATTGAAAGCCAAATTCTACTGATAAATATGTGTTAAAAAACAAACAAACTTATTAATAAAATTAACATAGGGAACTAGCTGGATGTAATAGCAAAAAAGGACAAAAGCTTAGGTGATATTAAATGGCATTAGAATATTATAAAAAATATATTTATTATAAATAGTATTATAAATAGTAGAAGTAGATACCAATGGGGAATCATAAAAAACATTCTCCTATAAAACCTCTACCAAATTTTGTACTACTATTAGTTTGAAATCCAAATGCCTGCTACATGCATACTTCATAATATTTCAGACAAAAATCTTTCAAATTTTAAAGATGTACCGTATAAAGAATTCTATCGAAAGACATGTCTTTCTTCAGTTAATCAGTGTTGGAATTAATACATGTATCAGTATAAGAACCAACAGTTAAAAAGAATTGTTAGGAAATAACAAGAGGTTGGTTCTCTCTTCATGGTCTGGTGTCAGGGAACCTGCAGAGCCTCGTTTTACAAAACAGCTTATGTCAGTAAGACCAAAATGTAAACTTGTGAATAATTTCCCTTTATGTTTAAATTTGACTTTTTTCATTTCTAACCTTTTTAAAAAAAAGAGTTCTCAAGAGATGTTTTAACTGCAGATGTATTAATATCTGAGGTTTACATTGATTTAGCTGAAGCTTTTGGTCTTGGTCACAAGTTCTTTGTAAAATGGGGTCCTGGTATATCATATCTTGCAAATACCCCCAAAAATTAATTTTACTCTAACTATTAATCATGTCCACTAGAATTAGTCATTATGCGACTTAATTAAGTGATTTATACTACCTGGATCTCCCTTTCACACATTTCAATAATTTTAAAATAAATTTTACATCATATCTTTCGACATACAAGTCTTTAGAACACTACAAATATTTTTAAAAAATTTCATAGTAAGTAAATGTTGGATATTTCAATACCTGTATTACAGTAATATTGTAAGAATATTCTATAAAAAAAAGACAAGATTAGTTAACAAAAAAAAAAAAAATACAGAACCAAAATACGAAACTGTGACTACAAAAACAAACCTTGTTCATGTTACTCACGGAGGCTTCTACCATCTGGACCTGCTTAAACGAGCCCAATTCTGATTCTTGTCTGGGAAAAATCATATAATACCAGTCTGCCTTAGGACTAACTCGAGGTGGGGTGTACTATTGGAATGTAAAATCTTCAGTTAAATACGGAAAGAAACTAACTTTTGCAAAGATCTTTACTTAACATGCATGTGAATATATATGAACTTGCACTGTAATAGAACATGAAAGCTTAAGTTTACAAATTAATGAACTAAAATAATTTAAGTACGGAAGTTTAACAACATATGAAATGCATTCACTAACCAGATCAATCCAACCTCCCCTGCTCTCTTCTTCTTGATTCTGAAAATTGATCAAGTAAATGAAACTAAAATTAAGCCTGAGATTATTAATCCCATTAGTTCTGAAACCAGAAATATAGCAGTGTCCGGACAAAAATCGAAGAAAAAATTATGAAGAGTAATCTCCCCTAAATTGAGAGTAAGATCAGCATAACTTGCCTTTTTACATTTACCGTCCATTGCACTACATATTGTCAGGATAGTTTTATTCTGGGCACGATTTAACCATGATATTAGGGCATAGTTATTGTTGATCCAAGTTACCGTTGTAAAATAATGGTCCCTGAAATTCAGCAAACTCATTTTAAAAAGAAATTCCTGATGAATAAAGAAATTGACTCTTAATCAGTATGATGTGAAAGAAAAGAAGGGAGAACTGAGATTACAAAATTCTATTTTATAATCTAGTATTTTGCAGTGAAGAAAACCATACATCCTCAACAAGTACATGTAATACAAGGGAGAATTCTACATGTAGTTTACCCTTTCAAGAAATAAAGCTTATAATTAAAGTTCTTACTTATTTTTAAAATCCTCTGGGGGTTTCAAGATGAAAGTCTGGTTACTTGTTCCAAGCATTCTTATTTTCAGTGTAAATGTTGGATTTGCATATCCTGGCTGTAATTTGAATAAATATCATATATCAATTTGTTAATTTTAAACAAATACATTCTTAGGGAAAACATAAAATGCTATTGTGACAAAATAATACCATTCCGTTGATGAAAACAGTAAAAGCAAAGTCATGGTCATTGACTGTACATATGTATTCAGCAGCATTAGAAACCAGAGGCTCCTGTGCCACACTACTCACCTTAACACCTTAATCCACATTGATATGTGCAAGTCCCATTTTCGGTATATTTATTATGTACAAATACAAATAAATTCTAAGTAAATGAATTTGCATTACATGAGGATTTCTGAGCATTAAATAATAACCCTCATCAGACTAAAACAGGTTGTTAAAAAATATGCTAATTATAAATCCAAACTGTGGACTGATCATGAAGTCTCATGCAGGATCATCAATTATAACAACTTGAACATGCACCACAGCAAAGATCTCAAGACACATTAGTCGATTTTTTTTTTCAGCATTAAGGAAAAAAAAAGCATCAATTCAATAATGTCTTAAATTTCACTACAGCCAAATTTGTTTGTAAATGGAGCTTAGATTTTTTGAGTACCTTTGGGTAAAAAATTTTCATGTTTGTTCCGTATGCATCTTCCATATCGCCGTAATATGGGTAATAATAAGGTCTGACAGTGGAGTCATTAAAGACAGCGTAAAGGATTTTGTCACCAGAGGGCGACCACCAGATAGCATTGTCAGAAGATATAATCTCCTCTGGAAAATAAAAATACTTATCAGAAATGTCAAGTTTTAAGATCAAGAAATGAAACACATTCTTAGGGTCTCTTGGCTACAATAAATAAATAACAAGACAACCAAGGTTTTAAAACCATGTATACTGTACTTTCTTAATGTGTTTTTGCTTTTTTCCATCTTTCAGTTCTTGTGGGAATTGATTGTGGTAAGATATTATGGCTATAGACACATTTCAGATTTCCATTTACCTTCATAAACCCAGTCAGGGACACCATTAAATATTTCTCCTGTGCCCGGATCTTCAGCTATCAGCTCTGGAATGGCACGCTGGTCCCAAGGATCGGCCAAATAGAATATGGAGTTGTGATGAACATAAACCTAAGGGAAGATAAATGTGACTTTACATTCATACCAATCTTTTTCACTTGTAAAACTCAAGTATCAACCCATTCACGAGTAATGCATCCAAGCTCATTTCTAGATTAATCTATAGAATACGCTCTCTCTGTCCTAAAAGTACATATGTATCAATAACACCAAATTCTGTTATATGCGCCACTAATTGCGATATTCTTGCCAAAGTAACAATGGTACCTACCACGCTGTGTCCCTGGGGTGACCAGCTGACATACTGGTATCTTTGTCCTCCAGCTGGATCAAAGTCTCGTATTTCTCTACCAGAAGATAAATTTACAATGATTTTAATGGAAAATAATTCCATCTACAATGTTACATCATAAAAGTGAGTGAAGAAAATTGTGTACCTTGTTTTCAATTCTAATATTTTATATTTGCTCTTCTTTGAATGTCTGTAAATCTACAATAAAGTCATAATTTTATAAGTCAAACTATATTGGTATTGTTTTGATGAGAAGGGGGTAATATCCATATGAACACAAAATTTCTAAGGAAATCTGATTCAATAACAATTGCATAAAATAAAACTGCAAAATTTGTCAATCTTCTCCTCTGTTCATGCCCTCACTCCGAAACAGAAAGGGGTTTACTAGCCTTGTCTGTCTGTCTGTCTCTTTGTGTCTGTCCTTTTTATTCAAAAGATCTATTAAAGTTGAAGCTTAAAAGTTTCATACCAATTAAACACTGTAAGATTAAATTGCAATATACGAGGGTTGATCCAAAAGTTCGTGGAATTTCTTCATATTTTATTTATTATTCAGTGGAATTGGTTGAAAATTACAAATGAAAATATAGACACTTGATGAATATTTTAAATTAAAAAACATTTCAAATATCTTCGATAGTAATTTTATGGCAGTTGCCATAGAAACGGTTGTTTGGAATTGCGGGGGAGACATTAACGCGTTTATTATCATTTAAATTCTGAATTCGTGAAATAAGAATTAAACGGCACTATGTGGTATATAAAACGAAAATTATGTCATTATTACGATTGCTTGATCTTATATAAACCTTTTGTATGAGAGTTTTACTGATTTTACTGGATATTTAGTTTATAAGTTGATGATTTATTGCTCATCTTTTTAAGTTGTTAGATAACGTCAAATTTCGGTCAAGTCACACGTTTTGTGAAAACGCGTATATTATTGACATAGGTTTGGGAAAAATGCATTTAGTTACTGGTTTTCCAGTGGCATAAGAAATTTAAGAAAAATAGAACTTCCATGGATGTTGATAAAAGGTGTGGTCGCTTTTTAGAGGCTCTGTTTAAGTACGTATCCCCCTAGACAAATTAAAAGCGTTAATGGACGTTGTCGGCTGTCGTACTGTTCTTGACATTGCTCATGTTGCTACTGAAATTGGAACATCATATGGAAAGATGGGTAGTATTTTGAAATATGAGTTAAAAATGAAGATAAGTTGCTGCGAGAGGATTCTCTATCAGGCTTTTCTTGAGAAAAGAACGGAGAAAAATGCAGCATTTTGTAGAATTACATATTATAATTGGACATTTGGGCGAGATGCTTCTATAACGTGACGTGACATATCTAACTTGAGGTTACGTCGATGTCTGCCCCAGGTTTCCCCACTATTCATTTTCAGAAAGCTCGTGTGACCTTATTGGTAATTGGAAAATGGTGAAATTTTCCAATTCTGTTGCATTATGACTCTATGTTATGAATATGCCTTTTGACTGATTTCATCAAATCACGATAAAATTTTAGAAAGAAATTCCACGAACTTTTGGATCAACCCTCGTAAATGCAATCCACATAAGCTGGTTTAACTTACAATTCAATTTTTTCACATATTAATGCTTTTTAAAAGGATACATCATAAACACTCCAGAAATTAAATCAAGTTTTAAAATAAGAAAAGTATATGCCAAACTCACCCCCTGGACTTCATAAGGCAGTAGGACAAACTTCTGATCAGCGGAGATGTGGTATTCACCAGTATTCAGCTCTCTCTACAATAATAAAGGTTATACATACCAGTACTACCCTTCATAAGCATCCCTGAAAATTCATTCTTAGTATATTTATAGATTTTTGTTAATGTCATTTAATTTAGCTTCTAGTTATATGTATTTCAAACAAAAAAAAGTTAAACTTGAAGCAAGATGTCTTTATTTCTAGTGACAGTTATCAGTCTTACAAATGTTGAATTGTCTAGAAGTTCTGTGGTCACGTTGAAAGTACAGTTGTAAAGTAAGACAGACCCTTCTTCATTTCTGTACACAAAGGAATCATCTAGAGGGAAAGAGAAAAATTATGGTTTCTGAGGAAGAATTAATTTTCAACAGTTTAAGAATTGGTGCAGATGCAAACTTTTTCTATAAAAATCATCAAAAATTATCAGAATCAACATCACAAAGAACTATCTCTCGAATGACAAGACCATTCTCTTTAGTGATGTTTATTGCCAGATTACAGAAGTCTATCTCGGAGCCTATACAGGTTATCTATGGATCTACTCACCTAGGTATAAACCTCATTATAAAAACAGAAGCAGAAACATATGTTCTTACAGCTATACAGATATCATAATTAATTAGAAATCCAGACACTAGCTATTACACGGTAATGCACCTCCCGGAGAAAAACAAAAATAACTAGCTAGCTAGGAGTTTAGAACAAGGTTGTTATTTTCAGGGTAGAAAAAAACCCTGAGGATTACAACAGATTTTAGTTTGTTCATTCGTTTGGAAAGCAACATAGGCTTTGTGCTATCTGCTTTCCTCACGATCAAACATTTCCATTAAACCAAAGTAATTTAAGCTATTTCCTGAGTGAAAAATATTTGTGGGGGCAAATGCTAACGGAAATTCAACAAAAATGTTGCAGATAATACATATAATGCATATTTTGATAAGGATAATAATTGTACACAGAAAGATATATATGAAAGACCAATCTATTGATGTAACAGTATACAAGCACATGTATCCAACTATATCTCATTTAATAAGAAAATGAAAATTTCAGATTTAGTACATGCTATTTCTAGTTTTCCTACAGATGCTTTTAAAATTGTAGAAAAAAATGAAATATCAAATTTGTGGAATTTGGTTTCAAAAAATCATTTTAAAGGAAACAGCTCTGTCTGACATTCTGTCTTCAATGTGTTGAATGTCAAACTTGTCATCTATATGACATACCATCAAGGTCTCAGCTAGATGACATTGCAGATGAAAATGGAATATGTGCTTTACATGCATTGACTTGCTTTTATTTGATTCATCATGAACATTTAAATGCACCTGTTTAATACTGACTTTCCTTTTCTTACCATCTCTCCATTTTGGGTGAAAGCTATGAATCTTGTAGTCATGTCCAAAGAAATCATTAAAGGTGAACTTTTCTTTTTGACGTTCTTCTTCACTTCCTACAAAAAGCAATGGTGAAATGTCAATGAGGAAAAGTGTCATGCTTTTTAAAAATTATGCATATATCCAGTGTGTATTGCTCATGCAACCTCTGTGCAGTAAATGGTTATTTTTCAAGTTGCAAGACACCCTTTCTCATCAACTGACAGGGTTTTCATGGTCCTAAGCCTTAGAGTGTGAAAGATTTGATTCAGATATGAATAAGTCAACAGACAAACAAACAGACAGTGCAGAAAACCTATCCCATTATAATACAGTTCATCAACTGATAAGCTTATAAAATCTGTCATAATTGATATCTGCTGCAATTCAAGAGAATGTACCATTTTACAGATTAGGCCTAGAAAAAAAATATGTTTGTTTCCACTTTCAGGCTGAAAAAATGTAGGGTAGGTAGGTAGGCATTTTTTTTTTTTTGAAAAATTTTTTTTTGCTTCTTTAATCAAAACATGTATAGAATTAACATTAATGACAAAAGAAATGGTGTTTTCAAGCATTTCTGTGACTTAAACTTTTAATAGAAAGATGACCAAAACTTCTTTCTGTCTTGAATTGCTTGCAAAGTTGGAGACCTAATTCCATGGGTGAAATCTTGCACATCATGGGACAAAAGCATTAAAAAAATATTTAGGGTTGGCACTATAAATTAGGGTCGGTCGGGAAAGCGGAAACAAACATATTTTTTTTCTAGGCCTTAACAGAGTATAAATATAAAGCAAGTAGCATACAATCCTCTTTATACTTTTACTGTATACGTGGTTACTTCTGTGTTATCTGCAAATATAGCAAAGCAATTCTGACCCATCTAATTTTTTACAGCTAGACACTAAAAGTGTTGTCCTCTTTGAATTTGCACCTTTTAAAATTGCTCTACTGCAACAAGGGCAAAAGGGGAGAAAATGAAAAGGGGGTGAAAATTTCCTTGTATGCAGTATCTAGAAGCACTGTTAGCAAAGGCTATAATCATATAAACCCCACTTTGATATGCTAGTCATGTAGCATTAGTGGATGGCTTTGTGTATTCATTTATGACATAGTTGTATTATCTAGTTATCAAGCTTCATAATATTAACCACCAATGATACAGCATCTAAGAATTCAAATTGTTCTTTTAAACATGGATAGCAATCTAATAGAATCAAATCACTCATTAATAAAAAAAATTACTTACCAGGTGCATCATAGATAAACATTATATAAATGGTGCCTGTTTTGGAGGGTAACAGTATACAGTTAAAGTATATCATTGAGGGAGTCAGTAAGATTCCAGTTCCCCAAGAGCAAGTCTATTTCCCTTGGCGCTTGCGCCGAGGGAAATAGGCTTGCTCGAGGGGAACTGGAATCTTGCTGACTCCCGCAATGATATACTTTAACTGTTTTATTATACCGATACAAACAAGACATTTGAAAAAGTTACATATATATTCAATATTATTATACCTCTACTGATTTTTCACTATATAAAAGTAAATCGATATATTTTGCTGATTTCCTGAAAATCACCGTGAATAAACCGATTCCCTGCAAAACAGACTGATTCCCTGCAAAAAAAAGTACATTTTTTTATGAACTGATACACACCTATTCGGAACACTTAGCATTTTCTTTCAATTTACGACAAACTTAGAAATGTTCCGAATAAACTCATGAATATTCATTAATAAATCGAAATGCATCGCGAGTCAACTGGTCCCATATCAATCAGAAAGAACCAGTTTACTGGTAGCAAATGACAACAGAAATGGCGATCTCAAGATTTGCATAATGTTACTTTCGATTTTACTAGGTAACAACTCAGACAATGAACTGATTTATTGATAAAATGGAATTCTATTCATGTCTGTATTCTGTTTTGTTGTTATTTTTTATTTATTTCTGTTGGAATTAAACATTGTTACAGAATACAGTATTGAATATATATGTAACTTTTTCAAATGTCTTGTTTGTATCGGTATAATAAAACAGTTAAAGTATATCATTGCGGGAGTCAGCAAGATTCCAGTTCCCCAAGAGCAAGTCTATTTCCCGAGGCGCTTGCTGACTCCCTCAATGATATACTTTAACTGTATACTGTATTCTGTAACAATGTTTAATTCCAACAGAAATAAACAAAAAAATAACAACAAAACAGAATACAGACATGAATAGAATTCCATTTTATCAATAAATAAGTTCATTGTCCGAGTTTTTACCTAGTAAAATCGAAAGTAACATTACATAAATCTTGAGATCGCCATTTCTGTTGTCGTTTGCTCTCAGTAAACTGGTTCTTTTTGATTGATATGGGACCAGTTGACTCGCGATGCATTTCGATTCATTAATGAATATTCATGAGTTTATTTGGAACATTTCTAAGTTTGTCGTAAGTTTAAAGAAAATGCTAAGTGTTCCGAATAGGTGTGTATCAGTTCATAAAAAAACGTACTTTTTTTGCAGGGAATCAGTCTGTTTTGCAGGGAATCGGTTTATTCACGGTGATTTTCAGGAAATCAGCAAAATATATCGATTTACTTTTATATAGTGAAAAATCAGTAGAGGTATAATAATTGAAATTGACATCCCAAGGAAAACCATTGTCAACCGACGCGTCAGCGGAGGTTGACAATGGTTTTCCGAGGGGCGGCAATTTCAACTGTTACCCTCCAAAACAGGCACCATTTATTTTATTATACTGAATGTCTTCTTAAATTAAGTCAGCAAAAAAAATCGTCGATCATCTTTACGTTCACGTTTAGATAGCCTTCAAACTCTTCGCTACTTCTAAAAAGATTTACTGACCTTTATATTGTTTGTTTGATACTCTAAGAGTCTTTTATCATATAAAGTTTCATTATTTCTGCACTCGCAAGCATGTTTCGTCTGTCGTTTGTTGTTTTCAAGTAAACTACATCGGACGCAAGCTTTTATTGACGTCAACTTTTTTCCAGTTCTTTCAAACGCGCAACTGATGTTTTGAGAATTCTACGGTGAACCGTACGCGCATAATATCCATGCATGTGGCATTACCGTTGTGTTACCCATTGTCACGTGTGTTGCTAAGGCTGAGGGTAATAGAACGGATTGTTAACTGCGTCTAAACCAATCAGATTTTAGTATTTAACATGAAAGTATAATAAAAATACATGTATACTGATCCACTTCTGTGCCACATCAATTACACGTATAGTAAGATTTAATGTATCAATAGTGGATGTTGTATCATCAGTGGTTACTAATAGCACAGCATGTATTGATAGGCAATCACTATAAATATTATATTCACTAGCATTTAGTCTGATTAGTAATCTTTTCTCTTATAAGCAATACCTTTCTTAGTGTCATCATCTATAAAACACAGAATTACCATTGTAACAACAGTTAAATAAGGAAAATACACAAATCATACAGTTATCTTAAGACTATATATCTAACATAAAAGAAATATATATATATTACAATGTCATATGAAAAGACTATGATTTTCATCAAGTTCGTCAAATTCATGCAACTTTTTTCTAGAAATTAGATCCGTATATGTCATAATTGGTTTCTCTTATCAAAGCAAAAATATAGCATAAAGAGGGAGCAAAAACACCATTCCCTCTCAGTGCTCATATGATCTCTTGATCCCAGAAGAAATTCTGCTTTTGGTATTGATCAGAAATTGTGCAAAATAAATGTCCCAAACTAAATCAAGTTTTTGCCTTGAGAGCACATTATTTTCACAATGCTAGGAAAGGGTTCATTGCAAATACAAATACAGAAGAAATAATTCTTAAAAAATCCATGGCACAATTGTATACGACAAATCTCCTCTCTTTCTGAGCCCATCATATGATTTCCAAACCAGAAGGCAAGCCTCTGATGAGACTGTAGCTCTACTAGTTTGTACTTCACACAAATGAATACAAAAGTAGCACTTGGTCTTGAAACTTTTCAAAAGCAATGAAAATAATTATTATATTGATCTTTGGTTTAATTAGTCTCTTTGTGGCAGGTGTGCAACCAGATGATGTAAAACCAAAGCAGGAGTAGCCTTTTAAAAGAATTTTACAAATTTAAATTTTAAAAGAATTTTACAAAAATTCTGTGATTTTAGTAGCCATGGCAACATTCAAAAAATAATGTTCATTTAAATTTAAAAAAATACACAGGATTATGTATCCTAGTGTAGTCTATTTGTGTGCCAAGTAATTCTGAAAACAGATCAAAACTGTAGGAGGAGTAGCTTTTCGAAAAACTGTATACAGACGGACAGACAGATAGAAAAATGGTCAACTAACACCTCACTATCCCATAAGTTCTTCTGGTCTCTGACCAGTAGATCTAAAAATTGGAAGTGATTGCTCCTATATAGTAAGGCAAACAGTCTGTCTGGTAGTTAAGCAGTGAGGAAATTTTAGATGCATTTTAAATTCTAATTGCTTCACAGCTTGAATCATGGATCCACCTACACTGTAAGTGTGACCACATTGGGTCAAACATTCCATATCTTGATCAAGATTGAGCTTCACGTTCATGATAATCATCAAATATTAAAGAAAAAGATTTTGAAGTAGCATTATAATTTTGATTTTTTTTCCTCATCCTGTAATAGAATATCACAGAACAGCTAGAACTAAGAAGGAATCTAATCCCTCCTCCACATGTAGACATTGCATGTACTGATACCTTAATTCTGGTTGGAATTTGCTCAGAATTGGCTTTCACAGATGAATGTGAAAATATATTTAGAGATGTTGTCCAAAGATAACAATAAATTTCTGGAACAGCTTAGATTCAATCTTAATCCATGCAGTTTATAATGCGTTTTGAATTGGTGAATCACATTCATGAATGCAAATTTCATTGGTGTCAGAAGTAAACTTAAAGTGGGGGGGGGATTTTTTTTTTTAAGCCCTACAAAAAAACCTGACAAGCAAAAAATGTCCATTGTCCAAACAGGAAAACCCTATTTCAGGGGGGTTCAAACCAAATTTAGTAACAATGAATTTGTTTTAGCAGTATCTATGACATTCAGAAAGAGACAGTTATTGAAAGTAGTGCACAGTATTTTAGTATAACAATATTCATGTCTAGCTTTTTGAGTGACAGTAATTAAATGCTGAACCTCTTATCTATATCAGGTTACACTGCCATAAAATGCTACATCACAGTGAATTTAGGCTGCGGTCAACCTTTTTACCAAAGTTGTAACATTTAAAGTTTCCTGGTGCTGTTCTGCAGAAAAGCCAATTAAGGTAATACTTTTGACAGAAGCATAACTGTATGTATGATTTTGACCATAATGCAAACTATATTGTATTTTTTTCATTAGAGATATGTATTCAGAAATATATCCACTTAAATGTGCATGTGTACAAAATAATAAATTGACAGACCTGTGTTTCAGTATATTTTTTTTTTTTGGAAAGCTACAGATCTGCAGCTAGTGTACATAGCAAACCTAAATACATGTACTTCAAAGGGTACTTAAACAATCTTTTAATGCCACAATTTTAATAGAAAATATCTATGTCTGTAGAGATCAGGAAAAAGAGATCTCCAGAATGAATAACAGCTGTTTATCCCTATGAACATCTCGCTGATTTAATTTTCAAATTACAGCATTCTTTCATCTGAGGATCATTATCCAGAATGGCAAGCAAATAATTCATTTCTATAGACTCAGATACTTCAAATACACAAAATTTGACATAATTAAATTAGACCCATCATTTATTTCTTTTAAGCACTCATTTTTTTTTTAAATTAATGCATGGAGTTCCCGTTGTGAATTAACTGATCAAGTCAATAGTCAGAAAACAGAACTGCTGTGCTGATAAAATTTGCATATTTACATACGGAAATAAGTTTTTTCTTTCCTTGACAGTAAATTCAATTCACATAAGAGACTGGCATTTTCTTATGTGCCAAAAACAGTTCCATGACAAATCCCTGAACTTCAAGAAGAAGACCCAACAATTGTAACCTCTTCATGCAAATTGATCGAACTTTCAGTAATTCAGTAAAAAAATTAGAGGATGGTAAAATTAACAATTTGAATGAAGTTGAAGAAAATGTATTAATATTCTTGATTAGCTGACTTTTTAAAAATGATGCTTACTACTCAAAATATATTTCACATTTATTCATTTTATCTAGTAATGTTCTGCATGTATTATCTATTTTAAATTCAAAAACAGCTAGACCCTTTCCCTATTTCCTCGTGCACAGTAAATAATAGATTTCAATTAATCACAATCCCCCCCCCCCCTAACTTTAGATGTAAACAAATAATTAACTATATAAACATTATCTAAACCAAATGAAGGAAAAATGTTTTTTTTTAAAATTTTTTAATTAACTAGAAATTTTTATTAATTATAGTTTATTTATTTATTGTATTTTCTAAAATTCAGCTATGTTATTTATAATTAACTAGTAATTATAGAGTCAAAATATTGGTAAAACAACATTTTGTCCAAAACAAATTCTATTTAGAAACCTGTAGAGTTTGCTTCCTCACTAGTACAAGACAATTGTTATGGCAATTGGTTATTTGGTACTAGATATATACAATTCAATGATTTGGTAAAAAAACTTAATTTTCAGTCTCAAATCACATGCACTTTTTTCGGTAATATAACATGCAGCAAGCATCTGCATTTAATGGTCTGTGTGTAGTTAAACATTACTGGCCAACATAAGAAATTCTTACTCTAGATGTCGGCGAGCCTTACCTGGGGTGACAAGGATAATGGCAGTGACAATAAGGGCACACACAATCAGAATCACCAACAGGGCAATGGCGATCCCCCTCCAATTTCTTTGCTGAGTTGTTCCCCCTACCAGCTCCTAAAAGAAGAGAAAAGGTTCTAAAGAAAATATATTATAGTATGAGGCCTCCAAGTACTGGGGGACTCAGTTAGATTACCGTTTCCATCTCCATGTAGAAATCTGCAAAAAAATGTCAGTCAATTAAAGAAACTGTTCTCCCTAAACTCTACACAGGAGAATTTTTGGTTTGTTTTTTTCTTGTAAAACCAATTTTCAGTTCAACATATTACATAGTTATCAAGTACTCTACACAGGGATGCAATTCAAAAGGACAAATTCAAAGCCTGATTCTTATACTTATAAACTAGTAACTTCTCACAAAAAAAAAGAAAAATCACAAGGGGAAGCCAACTTTCATGTTCTCTTAATTAAATTGCATTCCTAAAAATAACTGAGGAACAATCAAAGATTGGATTGGAAAAAAGTTCCAACTGCATTATTCCTCAATTCTTTTCATGACAACAAAACCATAAACATGATGAATAGAAAGTCTTATACAATATCACATTTTTCCCAACATGTGTTGATTATACACAATGTATCAAAAACACTAAGTATAAAAACATTTCCAATGGATTACCGTAGCCTCCGATATTTGCATGATAGTGAGACAGATTTCAAGAATCTCGATTTCAATCCATTAGAAATTAAAATCAGTCAATATTTCTTGTATGTATTTTCAAACTCCAGGGCACCAAAAAAAAAAAAAACAAACCAAAATACACAGATGCTAAGGTTTCCTTAGCAATGCATTCTGTGATGAAAATTGATGGATTCTCAATTCCAATATGTTGCGCTCAGGTTGAAATCATTCTCAGTATAGGTGGGATTACGTTGAGTTCTATTATAATGATTTACTGTAGAAGATTCCATTTTCATGACTGATAGCTTAGTTTATTACATAAATTTTATAATGAAAGATGGAACATGTTGATTCCAAAATCAATTTTAGATCTGTTAACTGTATAGCACACATGACGTGGGATGAACTTTACAGATACGGGAATTAATTTTCACAGTTTTATACACAACTGAGGTAAACAAGTGGGATGAGATTACTGTTTTACGCTCCTCAACAAAGCAATTTATAGAAGAAATGTCATTAATTTAGTACCTTCTTTTTGTAATGAAAAGGAAGCCTCCTAAATATTATACAGTTGGTTTTTTTGGGGTTTTTTTGTTTGTTTTTTTTTAATAAATCTATATACTTCAATGTACATGTATAATCATTTTTAAAAAAATCACCAGCATACATTTTAACATATTTAAAACTTGAATTTAAATTTTTTAACATTAAATACCTGATCCCCATCACTTTCCACACTAAGACTTTTCTTCATCCTTTTATCTATCATAGTTTTTCTCTTTAACTTTACATCAGAAAAATAATTCCTTTATAAGGAACAAGCTTTGTTTTTACTTCGATGACTGTTTTCAGTAATTTATCAGCTTCAGAGGAAAATCACTACACATGTGCAACAATCCATGCATCAAGTTTTGTATTGGAAATTAAAATGACGATTGTGTAGATCACATAATTACATCTACTTCACACATATATAAATGCAGGCCAATTTACAGAAATCCAGATTCCATTAAAAGGCAGTTGGAAAATTAAATCAAACTTGTTGCTTTCTCCAGGAATTGATATCCAAATTCATGGCTAAGCAAAGAAGACATACGGAAATGAACTGCGGAATGAGTCAGTGTCTATAAAGCCGGGCTGAAGCGTAGCTCAATACTTAAGAGAAGCCCTGTCTACTGGAGGGTCTTAATTGCAGAAAATCTTGGAGGAACCGTGGAAAGAATTGTCAATAATTCTCAGATCCTAACTGCCATGACACAAAACTTCTGTCACAGGCACATCGATTCTGACTTTGGTTGTTAATTATTTTTTGGCCATTTTGAGACATTGCCTCCGTGCATCATCTATCACATCTCCGCAGGGACTACAAGGAACTGATGCCGTGGGATCTCCTTTAGTTACTGTCAGATGCTTGCCCATTCCGGGATTTCTTTGGAAAAGACATTATAAATATTTTTTTTTACGTACAAAGGCTGCTCGCTATTTGTCATAATCGTTAACAATATGTATCATCATTCCAGCGAAGTGCTCGGAGCAAAAAATCCTTAATGCACGTTAATAGGAAAGTTCGGAGGCTACCACTTTGCTTCTTAAATTTCCCTATGCTAAAGACATCAACTCACTCAGGAAATTAGAAGAGAACATAATTTTCAATTATAAAAGAAGTTTTTTGGGGTTTAAAATGTTTTTCCAATCCTAAAAACAGGTTTCTGCAATGTTAAATGATAAAAGTAATTCCCATTGTGAAAATAGAGAGCATGGATGTTGCAGGTGTTGAAAAAATATTCTCTTTTGGGAAGTAATGGCATCATTACTATTGAGCTGAAGGCTCTGCTGATTTAGCCATGCACTTTTCAAAATATAAATAATTAGTAAAAAAAATTTCAATGTTTTTCAGTGGGTAAAAAATGAAGCAAAACTACCTCAGGACACAGTTTCCACAAATGTACACTAATGTATAAAATGGTGTGAATAATGATAATTTGAAGCTAGGCTATAATGTAGTAGTAATAGCTAATGTAGGGGAGGTGCATTGATTTTAATACAGACATTTCAGAAAAAGTTATATAAAGCAATTATTTTTCAACTATTTTCTAATATTATTTACTTTTGCCAATGTTTTGTCAATAATAACCATTACAGTAAAATTTCAGGGTTATTTAAACAATAAAATGCTTTCTTTGTTTGTTATTACTGGAATTAACAGAAGCAGCTGTGGCGCTTTTCTGCAATAGCTGCGACCGTTAATTCCAGTAATAACAAACAAAGAAAGACATTTTATTGTTTATATTTATATCTGTTTAAATAATCATTTAAAGAAGGATTAAAAAGTTTAATTATTGTATTAATGATAGGAACGTCTTTATACATTTCATTGATGGAACAGCCACTGATCAAGAAATCTGTACAGGCAACATGCCTAATGTAGTTTATGCAGTGATTAATGCAATGGGTTTTCTTAAGAAGTAAAGGAGAAAATATTCAGTGGATGTAAATATACCTTCATAACACCATATTATAGCACCTTCCAAACTATTTCTTTGTATCCTTTTGGACTACATGTACAGTACAGTAAAACTCATTTAGTTAAGTATGAACATGAAGTCTCTGATGAAACTGCAGCTCTACTGGTTTTCACTCAATTAACAAAAGTAGAGATAAATGTTCATTTGAAAATATCAATATTTTGCTACCAGAAGTTATAAATAAGCTCTGTGAAGTGTGCTGCTTATCTTCTGATACTACATTTAGTCCATTAGGGCATTGTAGAATAAATGGCTTAAAACCATTCTAATTATACTTATTATGGCACAAGTTCCAGTTATTACCTAACTAAGCACATTTACAATTCTGCCAAGTAAATGAGATCCCCAATAACCAACATTACTGGTTAATGCTGATGTCTCCCTGTCTTGCCTTCACGAATCAATGGAGAATCTTTCCTAAGACTCCCGACAGTCACAGGGAATTTCATATTAATTTCTATCAATATTACTCAGGGGACTAAAAATCTTCACTTCCTGTATAAAAGAACATCTTTTCTACAGTCCTACACCCACTTAAAAAAAAGATTCATGCACCTCAAGAACCAAAGTTAAAAAAGAAGTCTGTGAGCCAATGCTCACTAGTAATACCCCGCTCTGATGCAAATATTATAATGCTCGTATGTGAATATACACAAGCTGCATCTTAAAGAGAGACACAAAGATAAACAGGAAGTTGACATTGGATTCAAACAAAAATGAATCCCAACATATGGAATAATTAAATAGTGCTTAAATTTCAAGCATCTGCAATGTCTATGTTATATGTATGGTATCTTGCTTGGCTACATATAATTTACATTTAAATAATTCTATATAAATTGACTTCGACTCCAACATGTGTTGTAATACCCGCACCTCAGATCTCCACATTTTTTCCTTATTCAAAATAAGGAAAAAATGCGGACGGGAGTATTTGGACTAATTTTCCGCATTCATTCCAGATTTTCGTAGATTCAAATTTCCAATTTTCTCCGTATTCAAAATATGGAGAAAATGTGGATGCAGTATTTGGACTCTTTTTCCGTATTCTCTCCAGATTTCCGCATTTCCATATATACAAAATATGGAGGTATTTACTTGGTTGATAAAATGCGGAAATACGGAAATCTGAGAAAATACGGAGTTAATCACATGGTTATAAAATGGCTAATAAAACCGCTACATGATGCATACATACATAAATATTTACAAAACCATCAACAATGTGCAAAATTATATACAATTTATTAGGCCAAAAAAAATAATAGTCTTGTTTCCTGCTACCAGCCGAAAAAAAATAGGGTAGGTAGGTAGGAAAATTATTTTATTTTATTTTTTTATTTTATTTTTTTCCGACGGCATTTTTTGGATATGAACTGAATACATGATCAAATTAAACATATCACAAGTCACTCAGTATAATCTTTTACAATTAAATTTCATATCTTGATGCACAACAACTCAAGTGGTATTTTATAATATAAAGTACACTGTGTAGAAAGCTGTTTTAGTTTTCTCAGAATTTTTTTTTTCAGTTATGGAACATGAAGGTATTTGTCAAGTAGATAATCAAACAATCATTCCTTTAAAAACTCAGCAAAGGACCATATGTGTTACAGAAACCATGAACTTTGTTAGATTACACTGTATTTGATTTCTGAGCAGGTTAATTTTATCATTGTTAACTATTTGAAATCTAAAAAAAAAAAAAAACAAAGATGATGAATCTGAATACATGTAAATTTGTAATTTAAGTGAAATATTTTAGTGAACAGGAATTAAATCAAGAACAAATGTTAATTGAAATTTCTTTTTTAAAAAGTGGAAAATAGTATTTTGTTTACATTAAACAATATAGGACTATTGAAACAGAATGGGAATTAATTTTTTTAATAAAGTCCATGCAA